GCTTCACATCAAACCTTGTCAAAGTGATTGAAACTGAATGCACGTCATTGTGTCAGACGGCTGGTGTGCATGTGGCCGACTATTCCTGTGTCCAGGAGGAGAAATCTAAAGCCAAGCAGGCCATTGACGCCAAGAGACGTTTCGCTGGCGACAGTGGAGAAGCCTCCGAAAATCCAGTCCTCTCCGATAAGTCGGAGTGATGATGACGCTACCGCCAGAAGCTTGGGAGCTGGCGAGCAGAACAGTCAACCTGGCAAAGCATCTGGTCTGGATTGAGGCTCATGCATCTACCACGCAGCACTGGAGCCGATCTCTTTTTTTCGGCTTTGCATTCTTCTTGCGTAATATCCCTGGATAGAAAAATTTCCATATAAAAGGCGTTTCTCTCTCGGTGGGTCTTTTCTGAAAGGTCTTCTCTCAGGTCTTTGTCATGTTAACCAAGATGTGCCTTCCAAATGCATAACACTCATGAATAATCCTCATTTTCTGTTTATTTATTTATGGATATGGATCTCAGATGTAATGTGGCAGGGTTACATGGATCGGGGAAGGGGCGCTCGTGGCTGCCCAGTCTTCACACCTTATCTTGTATGACATAAAATTTGCGTCATTGAAGAACCAGACTCTACTCCAGCATCTCATGGGACTGGACTTACGAATGAAGCTATTCGCGACGCGTGTTCCCCAATTAACCTTCGATGGTATCATTTTATTCTATTTCGAAAAGATCCTCTGCTGAGTTACGAGGGAGTTTACGATCGCCAATAGAGAACTTCAGTATGGGGACTTAACTTTTCATGCACGCGCATCTAGGGCCATGGCTCGGGATGCCTTGGAAGTCGGGTATACCCCTGGGCCAGGTGATCATGGCGGCTGTAGGGTCTATGGTTCGGTGATATCATGAGTGGTTCCTTTTCACCTGATGACTAACCAAAGGTGATACTAACTACGTAGTTAGTAGGCTAACTACCTAGCGACACTCGACGGCAGTCAGACTCAACATCCCACTCTTCGTGTGCTATCAATCACGTTATGCTCTCTTGAATTCATCCAAGTGCTGAATTACGATGGTTTAGGACGTTCCGATAATTTTTATTGATAAAGGCTATCAATCGTGATGAAGTCTTCGCTCTTCCCTGAGGTGGCATTCGGGTCGCCCTTCCGCGCTGTATATTTATAGTTTGATCTCGAGACTACGGTGGCATTCACGTTCGCCTACCGACATCATCGACCTCAGAACAAGCACTCTTGTTGGCTCTTCGACTCCAGACTGGAGATTCACTCTCTATCTAAGCGCGCGTTGCGTGTTGTCTAGGCCTTTTCATACGATTCTGAATCAGCAGCGTTGCAATATTGGCTCGTTGCATCCTCCATATCGTTTTGCAACAACAAATATAGCCAGTAAAGGGTCTTTCTTTGCTTACATCATGAGTCTTACTGCTATGTGAATGTACGACGTCTGTGGCTTAGAAACTCTCAATACAGAGTGAACCTGGTTAGACTGTCATGCTGGTGAATAGAGGGATCCCTGCGGGCCAGAGAGCTCGGCGAGCAACCGCGAGCTACATCTTCGATTGCTTTACAGTGGACCAGAAGAGAAGTATGACAGGAATGTTATCTCGTGATAAGCTCAGGCTGGCAGGCAGCTGCTGCGTCATAGGGTCAGAACCTGCAAGATGACGAGGCCGTGGACTTCTTCAGCGTCAATTCTTGCCGAACAATGGAGCAAGACTTGTGCTCAGGGCGAGCAATCAAGCTTTCGGTATTCGCGGGAATTTGGCGATCCTGCATGACTTTCCGTTTTCGGAGCTACCGTTCCATCGGAGAGTAGGGGCCCATCCGCAGACTCCAATAAATTCAATCTAAGTCTAAGACATCGGCTAATAACTTGACCAGAATTCCCAGCTGTCGACAATGCTGTGTAAGATTAGTCATTGAATTTCGATTGAGGGTTTTGGTTCGTTTCGAGGCCCGGCAATAATAAGGACCTCCGCTATGATCTAGACGGGCTCCACGCTCCAAGTCTCTCACATTCCAGAGCGAAGCTCAGCTGAGTAAGACATCAACCCCCGACATTCTCCATGGTTGCACTAGCTTGCTTCACTGACGCTGATCTTTTTGTCATCAGTCTTCCTTGTAGCTTGTTGGGTGACTCTTTGCATTACTACGTATTCCATGATGACTGCGAGATGGTGGATGACGGCATCAGGAGGAGAGGTCATTGTAGAAGCACTTTCACGTCATGGCTGGATTTATTTTTATTGTTCACGGCCTGGTGTCTTGCGTCCATGATTTGACTGCTTTAACTTCTGCAAGAACTCTCTTCTATTCGCGGCCTTTTCGCCAGTTTGGAAGCCCATGTGCAGCTTTTGCCGCTGCTATACTTCGATTCACTCCGTTCGTCCGTCATTCAACTTGTGATTTGAATGTTTCTTTTGACCTCAGGAAATGGGAGTAGAACTCGGAGGACCAGGGGTAGACCACTCCCACCCCGGCTACCCTCATCGTCCTATGAACCCGGTATTGGCGACACCTCTGTTTGTCCTCGGCGGGGTCTTCACCGTTCTATTCCTGTGTCGGGTGGTCATAAGGGTTCAGCATCGCCGTCGTTTACGTGAGATTCTTCAGACAGATGACCAGAGCAAGTTTTCGGGGACCAGCACCATCTTTGCCTGGATCAAGAAACATGTACTCTATGCACCGTTGTTTTCAAAACGGCACAGTCGCGAATTTCAACTGCTCAACAGGATTCATATGGGAAGCATACCCTTACGACTGGAGGCTACGTTAGTTCTGGGATATATCGCGACCAACCTGCTTTTCCTGTTCGTCCTAGTCGACTGGTGGACGGACTATCAGGAAAAGATGTACCAATTAAAATATGCCGCCGGACATCTGGCAGTAATGAACTCGCCTGCGCTGGTCTTGACCGCGGGTCGGAACAATCCCCTCATCCCACTTCTGGGCATTCCTTTTGACACTTTCAATCTCCTGCACCGCTGGGTCGGGCGGATCATGATTGCTGGGGCCCTTGTTCACATGGTCTGTGTCATTGGGGCGCAGGCCGCGCAGGGTGGGTGGTTCAGCTGTCTCGAATGATGGCCGTTGCTGACAAGGGAAACAGTATCTATGGACGCGATCACGAACGAACTTTGGAGTAAGCCTTTCTATGTATATGGAATGATTGTAAGTGATCCGTCTCGGCGAATGGTTTACTAATTGGCATTGCTAACGGCGGTCGATGTAGGCTCTTATTGCCTTTGTAGTCATTTTCTTTCAATCAGTATCACCAATTCGGCATGCATTCTACGAAGCCTTTCTTCATTTTCATATATTCCTCGCAGTCATGGCATTTGTTGGGCTATGGTATCATCTGCGTGGCTTGGCCCAGCAGAGGGCTCTTCTGGCCACGTTGATCCTTTGGGGTCTTGAGGTGAGTATCTGTCCTTGGTCATCAAGTTCGCACTACTCATGCTTCTCTCCAGAGGATTGCACGTCTTGTCAGCATTATCTGGCGGAATTGCGGCAAACAGCGTACTTCTGCTACCGTGGAACTGTTGCCTGGAGACGTCGCCCGGGTCGAGGTCGCCGTGTCGCGTCCCTGGAAATTCAAGGCCGGACAGTATATGTACCTCTATGTCCCATCGCTAGGACTATGGACCTCGCATCCGTTCTCCGTGGCATGGACATCCTCAGATCGGATGACTACCAGCGAAAAGCGCGATTCAAGCGACTCGTTCAATGTCTTGCTGGGGGGACCGCAACGGACCACCATGTCATTCCTGATCAAGCGGCGAGATGGATTTACCAACAAGCTCTTGAGGAAGGTTCACAGCTCGGAGGAAGGGAAGTTCAACGCAACTGCGTTGGCAGAAGGGCCATTCGGTATGTATTATGACTCTATTCCTTTCCGCGAGTGGGAGATACATCATATTCTTACATAGTGGAACACAGGGGGCCTTCACTCGCTTGCATCTTATGGTACGGTACTGCTCATAGCAGGGGGAATAGGCATAACTCACCCACTCTCCTACCTGCGCGAGTTTGCCGATGGCTTCTCCGACCGGTCGATGGCTGTACGGAGAGTCACCTTGGTATGGATTGTGCGCCACCTAGGTACGTTCTTACAGGACAAAGAGCAAACGAACATGGTCTAACCCCAATTAGAACATCTGGACTGGATCCAGCCGTGGATGGCCACTCTACTCGACCATCCAGCCGTCGAAGCCCCGAACGAGCGCAAGCAAACCTCATACTTTCAGCTTCCTGAGTTTTCATTATCAATTCAAGTCTACGTGACAGCGAAAGGGTATACCACAGACGAATACTTATCCGACGAGAGCCCCTGGACCAAATCACCACCTTCAACGGTGTCTATTAGCATCAAGTATGGCAAACCATCGTTTGCGGAAGTTGTGGATGTCGAGATGGCGCAGCAAGTTGGTGCGATGGCCGTCAGTGTTTGCGGCCCGGGAGGACTGGGCGACGATGTGAGACAGGCCATTCGAGAACGTCAGAACGGGCGGTTGGTTGATCTTTATGAAGATACGTTTTCTTGGTAGAATTTGCACACCATCAAAAATGCTGGCGTTTTTGGATCATAAATAGAAATACAAACTAGAAAATGTAAAATTTTCAGTCATTCCAGTGAAAACAGCGTAAGTTAGCACATAAGGATAATATCTTGATCTAAGATGAGGTGAAAGCCGCGCAACGAATCTTGAACGCCTGATCAGGCGTAGAATTACCTAATCGGGCAATAGGTGGGTATCCCTGTTCGCCAGGTCTAGACTGTGGACCAACACAAATCCTGGTTCCTGGATCTTCAACCATCGGCTTTTCCCTCCAGCATGCTACATTCACCACACTTCAGACGAAATCCAGAAGGATGTTGATGACGACGTATTAGGAGTCATGATTATTACTGCAAACACCGCTGCAACGTCTGATCTACCAGTGTGTGTATCCAGCCTAGCAAGCAAGCACCTAAGCAAAATCAATCACAGCATACTCTTCGACGTCTTGATCAAATGCAGATTCACCGGCGTCAAAGCCTTCCCTCTCAGCAAAAACTCCTCAATATTCTCCATCGCCAATCGTTCAAAACCCACATGCGTGTCCACCGTACCCCCGGCATTATGCGACATCATCACCACCCGCCCATGCCTCGCCAGCCGCGGATGCACATACGGTTCCTCAGCATGAACATCCAGTCCAGCAGCCGAGATCTGCCCTTCATCCAGAGCCCGCAGCAGCGCCTCCTCATCAACCAATGATCCCCGCGCGATATTGATGAACCGCGCCCCGCGCTTGAACCTCCCCAGCCTCTCCGCATCGATCAGCGTCCGCCCCGCAAACGGCGTCGCGACCACCACGCAATCCGCCAACCCCAGCAACGCGTCCAGCTCGCCCACGAACCGCGCGCCAACGGCGTTCTCGACCTCGGGCGATTTGCGGACTAGATCGTTGTACGCGATCTGCATGCCGAAGGCCGCGTGCGCTTTCTTGGCGATCGTGTATCCGATCTGGCCCAGCCCGATGATGCCTAGCACACGGCCGCGAGGGTTCAGCGCTGTCAGCGGGGAGTTCTTGTGTGCGTCGAGGAAGCGCTGCGGGTTGCAGGAGTGCGCGGCCTGGTGTGACCAGGCGAGGTTGCGGAAGACGGCCAGGATGAGGAAGAGGGTCATGTCCGCGACTGATTCCGAGGAGGCGGCGGCGCCGTTGCAGTATATGATTCCTGTCATCGCTGTTAGCTAGGTGAGTCTGCCTCTGTGCTGGGTTGGAAACGCACCGTGCTGTGCGAAGATATCTACATCCGCCCAGTCGTAGCCTGCGCCTGCGGAGGCCATGATGCGTACTGACGGCGGGAGGAGGGGGATGAGTTCTGCGTCCCACCGGCCCATTTCACCTCCTGTATTCCAGAAGGGGCGGAAGATTGCATGAAAGTCCCCCAGCGACGCTCTTTCAAGGCTCGCATGAACTCGGCCCGTTCGCGCTCTGCGGCCGTGGGTTGGATGATTTCAAATTCCGAGGCGAAGCGCTGGTAAACATCGTGGTTGTACTTGATGTTGTCGCCTATATGGAGAACTCGATATTTGGACGTCATTTTGTCTTCTGATTCTTTTCAAGCTATATTCCAGGGCTACGGGTTGTGTTCCGTGGACGTTGTCTTATACAAAGTATCGCGTTGTATACTCCGGCCCCGATCAATTGCCGAAGGTCAAAAACCGATAGCCGATGCAGCAGATATCCGACATCCAACCCACCCATCTATAGCCGTCAGAGACCGATAGCAGTACCTGGCCAGGGATGATCGTTTTATAAACCCGAATGTAAGTCTTTCATAGGTGAAGAGGGCTGATCCCCCCGGCCAAGGTATACAAACGACTCCACGCTGTTCTCCCCACGCACCCTACTTCTACCGAACTCGGTCAAGATCCCCATTCTGCTCTTCGGTAGTCACTCTTCCGTACCGCGAGTCCAACCGCAGAGGCAATGTTCGCGCCCCGAGGATGTCGAAAATGGCGACGTCTGCGCGGAGTTCTCTCGAGAACCAGTTCCGCAGTTCCACTGCTGCCAGGGAATCCACTCCGTACTGGTGTATGGGTTTGTCGACGTCTATATCAGCAAGCGGTAATGAGAGCATCTTGGAGAGCTTGTTTTTCAGCTGTTCTGTCACTGCTGTAGTGACATCGGCTACGGATCCAGCGTTTGCAAACAGAGCAGCGAAATTGGTATGCTCCGCCTTCCCGGGAATGCCAGCATCCGTCCCTTCGACCAATGTCATATGCTGGTAGAATGGTCGCCTGATCCATTCCGTGGTTGTCATGCCTTTCTCCCGCAGTTTTGGTGTCATTCCAACCACCGTCTGACTTCTCAGCAATGGAATTTCGTTCAGACTTGGGTTACAGTAGATATCCAGGAGCCCGTGGAGCTCAGACTCTGTGATCTGCTGGAAGACAGTACTCGCCAACGTCTTTTCTCGAAGGGCCAAGTTGTCTTTTAAGACACCAACGGACAGAAACATCCCAAGGTCAAACGACACAGCTTTCTCGCCCAGTGCAATGCGGTACCGGGCTAGGCCGTCTTCAAACGTATTGCCAGCGGCGTAACCAGATGCTCCTCGTGCGCCGTATATTCCAGCAACAGATGACATTAACACGAAAAAATTCATTCCTCTCGGAAGAAGCTCGTGTAAATTCCACGAGCCTTGGACTTTAGGCGTGGTAGAAGCTTTCCAAGATTCGAAAGATATAGCTTCGAAATGAGCGTCCTAGGAAAGCAGAGATGTCAATGAACGTTCTTTGATATCGAGATATTGAACTTACGCTAACGACCATCGATGCTTGGACGCATCCTTTGATCGGAGGCATTGTCTGACCAAACTCGTACAAGACGGCTTTCAGGCATTCCCTGTCGGTAATGTCACACGCGGGTGTAGCAACTCTTGCGCCTTTGGCTTCTAGCTCCCTGACCAGGTCGTGAGCATGTGGGTTCTGAGGCCCCGATCGTGAAAGTAGAATCAGATTTCGAGCTCCCCTCTCAACAAACCAACGAGCGATGCTCCTCCCTAAGCCGCCTAGGCCACCTGCGATGAGATATGTTTCATCCGGACTAAAGAGGTACTCTGGTCTTGTTTCCAGGACGGTCTACGCTGGGTTAGCTAGCATTCTGCTCAGATCTTGTGCGTCGGGAGGGTCTGGCATACCATTACCTCGTCTGTATCTCTCATCTCCAAAACAGCCTTTCCTGAGTTCTTGCCACTCTGCATATGCCTGAATGCAGCTTCAATGTCTGATATGCCATAGACTTGGAGTGGATCCGGAAGGGGCATCTTCCCTTCTCTCAACAATGACAAGATAGTTTCCAATGCCGCTGTCACAACGTGTGGGCGATCCATTGTCATCGCGGCCAGATCAACCGCAGCAAAAGTTATATTCTGCTCGAATTGCAACATCGGGAGCTTTGCGTTGGACAAGATATCGTTCTTCCCGATTTCGATGAACCGGCCGTACGGTGCGATCGACTCCCAGGAGGCGATAAGCCCCTCGGAAGACAACGAATTGAGAACCACATCCACGCCTTTGTTGTTTGTGAGGCGCTTGATTCCTTTCGCGAATAGCGTGTTTCGACTCGAGAAGATATTGCTCTCGGGAATGTTGTACTTCTCTACCAGGAACCGTTTTTTATTCGGATTGGAGACAGTCGTGAAGACGCTCGCACCGAGGAGCTGAGCGATTTGGATGGCGGCTTGTCCCGTTCCTCCAGCACCTGAATGAATCAGAATTGTTTCTCCTTGCTGAAGTCGAGCGATTTGATTGAGCGCGATCCACGCTGTGGCATACGCGACTGGCAAAGCTGCGGCTTCCGAAAAGGAGAGCATAGTGTCCGGAATCCTTATGACGGCCATGTTTTCTTCTAGACGGACATAGTTTGCATGACGACTGGGATAACACGCCAAAACCCTGTCTCCTGGTTGAAACTTGCGGCACGAGGACCCAACATTTGTAACTAGCCCTGCAAACTCAGCCCCCAGCGCCTCACTGTCCAGTCGCCCCAGGGCAATAAGCACGTCCCGGAAATTAAGGCCGACACTCTTGACTTCAACCTCGAATTCTGTAGGTCCGAGTGGCTTCTGATGTGAAGTGTCCTCCAGGAAGTGGAGAGTGTTCAACAGACCAGGAGAGCCTATCTCAAGTCTGAGCCGGGGCCCAGCACCGAAAGGTCGTAATGCTTTCTGTTGAGGGAGCTTCTTCGCTGAGATTTCCTGATTGACCCCAGTGGCGTGGACCAGGCGGCCGACGTGAAGCATGCCGTCAAGCTCTGTGTAATCTGTGTCGATGCTAGTCTCCTGAGTCACAGCAGAGAGCGCTAGTTTGACAATCTGTTGTGCCTGGTGCTTGATCGACGCCTTCTGCTCCAGGGAGAGGATTGTCAGTCTTGTTCTGTGGTTCTCCTCTCTAAGGACTCGAAACAGTCCGTCCACGAGCCGATATTTGGGACATGGTTTTTGTCCGCCCCCACCATTTACCCAGATAAGATTCCTCGTAGAAGACAGCAAGCTATGAAGACGCTTAAACTCTTGTTCGTTTATATCGTACAGGTAGGGACTGTATCCTTCCAAAACCGTGATATCCAGACTGTTTGTGAGATCTTCTTTTGTCAGGAAATGTTCCACTGGTGTCTGCGTTATATTGGCCAGTCCCGCACGCACGAGCTGGGCTTCAAGTTCACCGGCCAATTCTACTTGCGCATAGTTAGCAGGATCAACGATGATACTTATCTTCGGCGACTTTTCAACCGCGGACGTATCATGAACGGCAGTCGAGAGAATTAGACTAGCCTCCTGACAGTCCTCGTGGCTATAGTCGTCGATCACGACATCGCAGCCTGAGAATCCGGCTTTCTTCAAGTGTCTTTCCCACTGAGCCGGGTCCGCGCATGGATTCTTCTGGCGGTAGGGCTCGAGTCCTAAGAGTGTCAGAGAATCTTGTGCGATTCCAGCTTCAGGGCATAGAAGGGAAAGACGTACCTCGCCACCATCCTTCAAACAAGCCAAAGACAAACGTCGTCCGGATAGCACCCGGTCGAGTGATTTCGACAAGTACAAGCTTTCCCCGCTGTAGTAGATGGTATCAGTTATTACTCGCATTCAGTTGCGACATGCTGATGGAACGACCATACGGCTTCAGCAACTTGCGGACATTCTTCAGACTCGCAGACAGATCTTTTGTTGCATGCAAGACCTAAGATATCAGTCAGGTCAGATCAGATCGTGTCCCTACTCTCAAACCGTACAATTTCCAAACTCATAAACTCACCAGAAATGCAACAACCATGTCATACGTTTCACATTCGAAGCCCTCCAGCCCAGGATCCTGCTCGATATCAAGCGTCTTGAACCTCATCCGCGTGCCTTGAGATGCAAAGAGGTCCTGTGCCTTCGGAAAGAATGACCCAGATATATCCGTAAAGTCCCAATGTCCATAGCGAGGCACCGTGACATCGTTTTCCGAGTTTGAAGAAAGGACTTCAAGGCAGAATTGAGTCATGGCGCCGCTTCCAGCACCGACTTCAAGGATTTTCATGTGTGGGTTCTTGTGCGCCAGCGCATCCAAAAACCGAGCGAATTGACGAATACGTGGGAGAGAGTGAACCTGCAGATCATGGTCATTTGACTGTCATTCGAATGTCATCGTGGCGTCCTGGCTTACCATTTCATAATAAGAGTCATCAAGTAAGTTTCCTTCGAATAGGAAAACAATGGGGTCGATTTCTCCTTTAAGGAACTTGAGAAGGTTCCTACAGACTGTGCTCACAAGTAGTCCTCTCTTGTTCATGTTCTCGAGTTTTGCATGAATGTCGTTAACGAAGCTCTCGTCCTTCATGCGGTTCCTCCATGTTTCAGAGCTAAAGGGAGAGTGGCCTGACTCTAGTGCTCTTTGTTGATCTACCATCCACTCGACGTACCTCCTCATATGGGGAGGGTGATCGATCTTGACGTCTGGGATCGACTTCAGGACTTTGTCAACGTATGTTATAACAAGGAAGTCCAATTCAGTAAAGTACTGGACTGGTTCTTCGCTGATTGACTCCCCACTTGCACAAAATGCTCGGATTTCCTCGTTCTCCAGCAAGTCGAGGTCAGGCTTCCATTCTATATGGTGACACAGGTTCTCTGTCTGTAGTTGACCATCTTCTGAAACGCCCTCTGAGCTTTCCAGGGCTGTGACTCTAAGGCCGCTGATGGTCAAGAGTGCACGCGTCATTTCGCAATCAACCGCAGTCATTGAATACCGAGCGTCCCCAATGGCTGACCTGTGGGAACTCGCATGCACCTTGATACTATCCGCTGTCGGATGGCTCAACCCGCTGTTCGATATCCATGCTTGGTCAATCCGTGTCGGAACAGCCACAGGTTTTTTCTGGCTTCCGTACGTCACGATACCGGCCATCATGTGGATAACGGCGTCCAATGTGGTAGGGTGAATCGTATGAGGCTGAGCAACTGCTGAGCTCGCGTCCTCCACCCACCTGTAGGTGCGGACATCCGAGACAAATTGGCCATTGGGCTTTCCATCGCATCGGAGAGCTGTAATTGCCTTGAAGTCCGGTCCATAATGGTAGCCACAGGCAAATATATCTTCGTAGTACTGGGATGCGTCGATGGATTCTGCGCATGTATATGCTGCATTCTGATATGACTGCACAAGACCTTCCTGCCACTCGCGCTCCACTCGGCCGTTGGTATTCAGTCCCATCTCGCCAGCTTCGAATGCGGCTTGAATAGAGCCAGTGGAGTTGTCAATCCAGGTGTTGTTGTCGTACGAACATATCCGGAATTCGTACCAGCCGCTACTATCTGCCTTGCCTTCTCTGACGCGCTTCATGTGTATATTTGTCTCGATGCCGTCCGCATGTATAGGTATATGCAATGCAGATGAAAACACGACATCTTTGATATTGAAGCCCACAATGACTTTGTCTGGCTCAACAAGCTGCTTGATCGCCTCCACCGCCATGACCAACATGCCTGCCGCCGGGTAGAGAATTGTATTATTGATCTTGTGATCTTGGACCCACGGCAACTCAGAGACTCGGATGATGTTCCTCCAGGTAGCTTCCATTGGGTTGCCATCTGGATCTGGGATACCGACAAGGTCCAGACGGCCGAATCTCCTGCATCTGTAGCCCTTGCTTTTTCGGCTCTCGCGCCAGTATGATGTAGAATGGTTGAATGGGTATTCGGGAAGGTTACTGAGCACTCGCCTTTGGTTGGTTCCACCATAGGCAGTTGTGTTAACCGGTGCCATATTGATTGGGTAGCCGTAGCAATGCAAGTGACCTGCGCAGTCCAAGGCGGTCTTCACAGCAGATTTATTCCGTACTAGAAGTGAAAGATAAAGGATATCGGCTTGCTTGCTGATGCTCTTGAGTATATCTCGGCATGGGCCTTGCAATGCTGCGTGCGGCCCAATCTCTAAGAGATGATTGATTGCCATTTGATAGCGATGGCTTCCATCGATTTTCCTGGTCGGCTTTCCTGGAGAACAGATGCGGCTCACAGCATCGGAGAACAACACTGGAGACACCATATTCCGTACCCAGTATGCAGGGTCCGTCAGCTCAAGACTTGAGACCCAGTCTCCAGTTACAGAAGACAGCATGACCGGAGCCTTCTTCTTCTCACAACTCGGCTTCTCCAACGTCCCCATCGCAGACTGATACTCGTTTGCGATTTCTCGCATCTGGAACGAATGATACGCGACGTCGACTACCAACTTGCGTGAGAAGACCTCATCCTGCTGCAGCAGGTCATGCAGGGCGTCAATTTGCTCTGCGTCGCCTGACACTGTCACGCTTCTAGGGCTGTTGATGCAGGCCACGACCAGTCTCGTGCCTTGGATCCTGTTGATATATTCTTGGGTATCCTTCTTGGATAGTCCTACCGCAAGCATTGAACCTTTTATTGAACTAAGCTCTTTAAGTTTGGCCGCCAGAATGCCTCGGTAGTATGAAGCTTTCAACGCGGATTGCTTTGAGAGACCCCCCGCGCAGTACCTGTCTCATCTCTTGTCAGTCAATTGAGATAAATGGATATATTGGGGGGGAGAAGTACGCAGCAGCAATTTCTCCAGATGAGTGTCCCACAACTGCCGTCGGGATAACTCCCCAGCTCTCAAGCAGATCGACGAGGGCGACCTGAAGAGCAGTCGATATAGGTTGGCCATAAGCGGGGTTATTCACGTTGGTATCAGATGCGGACTTTTGTAACTCGCCTTTGAGATGATTGTTAGCCATGTCGCTACAGGCTGAATGAGACGGATACTTACTTAGCAGATCCCAGGTACACCCTATTGTTTTCAGGTACTTCGCGGACTCCGAGAGACTGTCTGCAAATATAGGATACCGATGTAGCAGCTCGCGACCCATTGCGTGCCATTGAGCTCCTTGCTATGAACGGTCAGCTTCGGCAGTCTCCGGTTTGTTATAGTCATACTCCAGTAAACAAGAACGCTATGTGAGGGTCGTCGGTAGATTTGATTGCAGGCGCAAAGTTGTCTGAGAGGCTCCCAAGATCCCCCAAGGGATCTCCAATAGCATAGCTCCGCCATTGGAGGTGACTGCGGCGCTGATCGAGGGTGTATGCCAGGTCGAGCAGATATTGACGTCGCTGGCTTCTTGAGAACTCACGCTTGTCCGATAGAAATGGCTTCCACGATCCCACAAGTCGCTTGATTCCGTCTTCGTCTGCGGTTGACCACACAAGAAGCTGGTGGTTTTCCTCCTCGTCAAGAAATTCATTCTCCTTTTGTCCAATGGTATGATCGTCGGTCAGTTCGCAGCTTTGGTCATTCATGGTGTAGCCACGCTTCCCTTGAGCCACTAGACCAATGTCTGCATGTAATGGAGGTACGACCACCGTCTGATGACCGGTGTTTTCAATACCCATAAGGCGAAGGTAATTGTATGCATCGTCCAGGACGACATGGCAATTTGACCCGCCGAAGCCGAACGAGCTCACGGAAGCTCTGCGTAGGCCATTCTCGGGCCACGGAATGGCCTTTTGCAGCACCTATTGTGCGAAAGCTGTTAGGGCCGCTGACTCAAGACGGGAACTCTTCCAAACCTTTAAATTGAGGAACTCTTCGTCAATTTTTGGATTAAGTGACTGCAGGTTTCGGCTGTTTGGTGGAATGATGCCTCTCTCCAATGCTAAAATGACTTTGATGACTCCAGCAACACCACTAGCTCCTTCAAGATGCCCTATGTTCGATTTGACAGATCCACTACAGCGTCTTAGGATCGTTCTCGCTCGGAATGGCCAGCCAGGACTTACACGTATAATGGCTGCTCGGGGGACCTATACTGCCGAAAAGCCGTCCCTATCGCTCTCGTTTCGATTGGGTCACCAATGGGGGTTCCTAAGCGCTAGTTAACAGAACGAAAGCCTCCTAACCTTCATAACGGAATACCTGTGCCATGGGCCTCGAAATACCGGGTTAATGACATATCCAGCCCAGCCTTTTTGTACGTATCTCTAATCAAGCGGACCTGCGCGTCTTTGCTAGGCTGCGTGATACCGGGTGTTTTCCCATCCTGGTTCGAAGAAGATGACCTTATAAGGGCTCTGACAGTGTCTCCATCACGTATAGCACTATCGAGTCGCTTGATCACAATGACACCGATTCCCTCGCCTCTTGCATATCCATTTGCCCGGCTATCAAAGCTGTAGCTGTGACTATCTCGCGACAGCAGTCCCAAATTGTCCAAGCTCATGGTTAATTCTGGCGTTAGTATCACGTTGCTCCCGATTGCTAGGCCCTACCGAAGCGTTAGCAAGAAAAGCCACAAGAATTTGTCCTTCTGTCAACATACCATAGCAGCGTCTCCACTCCAGATCGATTGGCATGTCATATCCAAGGCGATCAAACTGCTTGAACATGCAGTATCAACCGCAACGCTGGGTCCTAGAAGATCAAAGAACCAGCTAACTCGATTAGCAAGCATATTCCGTGATGTGCCCACAGCCGTGTATTTAGGCATATCTAGCGGGTCTTTGGTCTGCAGCAAGAAGTAGTCATCGCTGAATGAGCCTGCGATCACACTGGTCTTGGAACCCGCGACTTTCTCCATTGGCAGACCTGCGTTTTCCAGGGCTCGATAGACAGTCTCTAGGACCATACGTTGCTGGGGATCCATTGATTCCGCTTCCGCAGCACTCATTGCGAAGAATGGCGCGTCAAATGTCGCCAGGCTTTCCTTGAGAAAGTGTCCGCCGCGCATTGAGATGCTGTCGAGGCGGTTGCGATCGGGATGGTAGTGGGCGTCGATGTTCATCCGATCGGTAGGGAACTCAGTCGAAACACATCTGCCATCGAGCAACATCTGCCAGAAGGCATCTGATGAAGTTGCATCATCGGGAAATTTGAAGGAGAAGCCTACCACCGCTAACGGTGGAAGACTGTCGGTTGATGTGCTGCCTGCCATAATGGAAGAAGTCAGTGCAGCGGTCTCGGGAAGAAAGAAGATAGACTGAAGCTATCTAATATAATAGCAATTAGCAAGCTGATATATTTGTCTCAATATTAATGAATGGCATCCTAAATCGGTCAAACTGGCGACTGGTGTTGTAAAGCGAGCATGTCATTTGTCACTTGTCGAGACCCATCGCCCCCGCCGTCTTACATCCACCGCAGACACGGCAGGACGCCTGAACTGAGTAGCTTACGACGAAGCAACCCCATCATAGCGCGATCTGCCATTGTCATTGGCCATATTACGGTGAATGTGTTGGCTATCCACCCTTCTGTCCGTGCCGAACACGGTATCTATTTGGAATTCGACCAAACTGGCAAATCAGTGTTGGTCATCCACGCAGCGACAGTTGATAAATGGTTTCCGTCACTTACTTTGATCCTTTCTCAACGGAAGTACATTGACAACTCCGTTGAGCCAAAATGCGCATTCTCTGGTGAGTGTGCCTCTGATTCTCTAGCCAGTGCAGTGGTCGAGTTGTTAATGGAGAGCAGTCTCCATGGAGCAGGCACCAATTCTCGGGTAAGCAAACTCAACATTATCGATGACGAGACTGACAATTGTCAAAGATCTTTGAGATGCAGACAGGTAGGACAGCCTTCCTCATGCAGATCGAATCTGACAGAAACAGCCGCCATCAGGTACGAGCTAGCAGACAGCCACGTCTACGATTTCGTGGAAGGCACCATTCCTTGGAGCATGTACCCAGGTCTGTGGGTCGCTTTTCGTACATAGGCATACACCACTGAGAACTGTTTCTACAGGTGTTGAAACAATCGCCTTGGACAAAGAGCCTGTCTTCGCGTACTTTGACGACATGGACCCACCGAGTGGGCTCGCCGTCTATCAGCATTTCGAACGACACCTGAGAGACGAGGGGCCGTACGATGGTGTAATGGCATTCAGTCAGGCGGCAACGATGATCCTGACGTACCTTATACACGTCTTCAGGAAAAAGAACCGAGGAGAGGCCGTTGACAGCCCGTTCAGATTCGCTGTGTTCTTTTCAATCGTTCGGCCGCCGATTGACTATGAGGAACTACAGAAGGGGAAGTTTGTAGATGTGGATTTAGATGATGTCAAGGGTATTGTTGAGATCCCCACGGTCCATGTATGGGGTGCATTGGAAGAGAGTGCCGGCCAAGCGGCCATGGCGAGCGACGTCTGCAGGTCAGATGTGAAATGGACGTATGTTCACGATCGAGGGCATGAAATTCCCGGCTCAGGGAGCAAGGATGCAGTGACCAAGACGGGGAATGCCATACGAAGGGCGATAGAGACTGCGTCAGATCCTCTTGATAATGAAGAGTAGCCAAGCTCATCATCAAAAATATCAAACATTATGTGTCCAACACCGCTGCACTATCTATATCTACCACTCAAAACCTCCTACGCACGCCCCTCCAGCAACGCCCACCTTACCAAGTCCGCAATCGTCCGACTCACCCTATCCGTCCGGGGAATCTCATGCCCACCCCCATGATCAAACACCCTCCTCTTCCCGGGCTCACAAATCCCCGAAAGTTGCACCCCAGCCGCATACCTCGGATCCTTAGACCCATAAACATGCACCGTCGGAATCCCCACCTTAAACGGGCCCCGGATCTCCCCGCGGAGCTCCTCCTCATCCACCGCCCCGCCCCGGACGCATCGCCCATCCACCGCGCCGACCCCTCGCCAATATCGACGCAGAATGAGCCTGCATCGCCAACGCCTCTCTCCCCGCCCGATCGCGCTCCTTCACCGCGGCAGAAACCTCAAACCCTACGCTCTCAAGCAGCTTCAGCGGCGGCCCGCCGCAGATGAAGATCGCCGCCTTGAACGGCGGAGGCTGCGCGGGTCCTGCGCTTGGTCGAGGAGGAGCATCGCGGTGCCGAGGGCGCATCCCTGCGAGAACATCATCACCGCATCGTAGGGACCCCGTTCTGCGATAAGACCCTTGAGCCAGGTGCAGGTTTTTTGGATCGCCTCGGGGAATCACCTTCCCAGAAGGAGTAGTAGGGGGCAGGGTAGAAGAGGTCGATTCCCGCTGCGGCGGTGGAAGGGTAGCAGCCGTCTATGAAGTCGAAGTCGATGTGGAGGTCATTGAGGTGAGAGCGGAAGGTTGCTGGAGGGAGAGAGGGGTTAGTTGCGAACTTGCGAGCAGCTGATAAGCGAGGGCGAGCGGGGTAGGTTACGGACCCGTCTGGGACTTGAAGATGGTGCCGCTGGTGCCCTTGCCGTGGAGGCACAACACCTTCATTATTATGGCGGGATTTGGAGCTACAAGTGAGATGGCAGTGAGACGGGGAGATCACTTTGAAGCTGCAGAGAAAGAGATAGAATATTGCCAACCTGGCAAGAAATCCACTGGGGCTAGGATCCAAAATCCTCCGTAAGCAAATCGCCCCCACTACATCTGCAGCCTGCAGGTTGGTTTGCAATAACGGACATCTCGGTTCGGCTTCATGTAGTTTGCCAGTATGATAAATTTAATCCTGGGCTCAAAGGTGGCTGTCACTGGCGTCTCTGGCGTCAGATTAGGTGATTTCCCTTCATTGATCACTGCCTATGCTTATTGAGTTTACCCGGCTGTCATCCTCGCGAGTGATGAGACACGAATGAATATATATTCCAAGCACCCAATCATAAGCTGAAGGATCAGTGCTATACGAAAACTAAGGTAAGCATATCTGCGATATAGCAAAACAAATTGTCAACGAGTGAATCTAGTCAACGAAAAAAGACCCAAGGCAAGGTGTGTTGAACACCATCTAGAACGCGCCGGAGCTGCCGAAAATGGTTGAACATCCTCAGGCTCTGTTTCAAAATTCTACCCCCGTTCTTGCTTCCATGTCCTCTACTTCATTTCCACGCTGGCATTGGCACTCATCGACAAAAGAGTAGATGGCGTCAGCGTCAAACCAGCTCTCATCTCAGCATCCATCATTGTGAGCGTTGCGTTCCTCCCGCTTCCAATCCGGTAGGCCCTCTTGATCGCCTTCCAGCTTTCCACAAGCGCCAGGTACACAGCGACACATCCGAAGACGATTCCCCACTCCCATCCGATACCTTGATGCTTGAAAACCAGTCTGTTGACTGCAGGCAAGTAGATCACCGGAAAGGCCACCACGAAGCCGGCAATCACTGCCCAAAACAGGAAACGGTTTCTCCAAATGGACTGGAACACAGAGAGCTTGCCGGGATATCTATCAGGATCCAGATTGAACAGAGACCGGGAGAAATGTTTGACCTCCCACGCTGTGATCAGCAGAAGAAATGTCAGTGAGGCATAGGTTGTAGCACGTGCTCGGAAGACGACATTGCATGTTTCGTTCCAGCCATTGTTGCAGTCCTCTCCCAGGTCCGAAATACCAGCACCAGCTCCATAGATGACGCATACAAAGGCCACCAGGCACAAGGATCCCATGAAGGTACCGTAGATCATTTTGTCGGTGATAAGCTCTTTGGTGAAGACACCGACCTTCAGGTTATGTGGTGGACGGTACATCAGATCAGGCTGCCCTTCTTCCAGTCCCAACCCTAAAGCTAGGAACGACGAAGTGACTAGGTTGGCCCAGAGGATTTCAAGCGGCGATAGAGGAAATATCGAGTTGCCCTGCTTATCCTTAAAAGCCAGAGCTATCAAGAGCAAGATCACCTGAGCGATATTCGATATGAGCAGGTGCATCAGGAACTGCAGGTGTTAGTCATGCCATACAAAACCGCCAAGTCGAGATTACCTTCTGAATGTTGTCAAAGAGTCGTCTTCCTTCCTCCACTGCCTTCACAATAGACGAGAAGTTATCGTCTGTGAGTACCATATCGGCCGCTTCCTTTGCAACATCGCTGCCATTCTTGCCCATTGCTATGCCAACATCGGCGCGTTTCAGGGCGGGCGAGTCGTTTACTCCGTCGCCTGTCATCACACAGAAAGCGCCACGTCGATGCATCGCCTCCACCATTCGAACCTTTGTTGCAGGGCTACATCTAGCGATCACAAGAGGTAGCTGCTCAATGGCGTCTATGTCAGCATCAGACAGCTCGTCAAACTCGGCAGCAGCCATGACCAAGCGACATGATCTGCTATCCAACATTGGACCGAGAATTCCCACTTCAGACGCAATTGCTGTCGCCGTCTTGATGTGGTCACCGGTGAGCATATGCACAGTGATTCCGGCCATCTGACACTTGCGCACAGCAGCAGCGGTTTCGACACGGGGAGGGTCGTAAAGCCCTACAAGGCCGCAGAACTCAAGATTGGCCTCAGCCATGGCGCGTGAGGACACTTGGGATTCGTCTTCGAGTGGTGTTCTTTTGTGTGCAATGCACAGAACACGAAGACCTTCCCCAGCCATCCGATCAGCTTCATACTGAATGTTTTCCTTTTCCTCCTCGGAAATGGCGAGACCTGGTAAAACAGCTTCGGGGGCTCCCTTCGTATACACCTCGTTCATGTTCCCGCCCGAGTTTTTGTAAACGATTGTCATCCGCTTAATAGAAGAGTCAAACGGATATTCTGTGTGAAGCTGCATACCGTCTCTCTGCAGTATAGTCGATTTCTCGTAACCGACACGCAGCGCCAGAACGTTCAGGGCGACTTCGGTGGGTTCCCCCACAGCAGTCCAGCGACCACTTGAGGGGCCAGATGGCTCCTCATTTTGGACGACTGACATATTACATAGAGAAATTGTGGCGAGAAAAGTAGAGAGAGCCGGGTTATCACCATGTTTTTCAGGAACCCAGTCAGATCCGTTCAGTTGAATTAAACCGCTGGTAGGGTCGTATGGGTCGGTGGTATCCTGAACAGTCAGAGTACCAGCACCTGGTATCCACGCCGTACGTGCGATCATTCTTCCTTGCGTCAATGTTCCTGTTTTGTCAGAGCAAATGTTTGTGACACCCCCAACAGCTTCCAGACATTGAAGCTTCCGGACGATGACGTTCCCCTTAGCCATTGCTTTGGTACCCACCGCCATGGTTATCGTGAGCACAGCAATTAAGGATTCTGGAATCACGGCAACGCCAATGGCTATTCCATATATCAGGACTTCTCCTTCAATGTCCCACTTGTTGACAGAAAAGACGATAATAGCCAGGAGTACTGCGAGAGCAAAAAGAAGGAGCGCAAATTTACTCAACTTGACCTGTAGCGGAGTACCAACAAGACCGAGGACATTTTCCGCTGTTGATTTGACACCGCGGACGGCCCGAACGAGCCTACTGGAGTCGGCGTCGTCTGAAGTCTCCTGGAGAAGTTTAGCTATTCTGCCCACTTCGGTTTTCATTCCGGTAGCAGTGACGATTCCGGTTGCCCGTCCTTGTGTCATGCTACATCCAGAATATGCCATGTTGGTTCTATCGCCGATGGGGATATTGTGGGAAGAAAGCACAATATGTGGGGTCTTGTTCACAGGCAAAGATTCGCCCGTTAGCAAGGCCTCATCCGTTGATACATTTGTACCGTCGATCAGTCTCAGATCTGCAGGAACGATGTCGCCAACTGTGAGTTGAACAACGTCGCCGAGGACAACAGACTCCGCCGGGACGGAGACCACGCGGCCATCTCGCAGTACCTTGCATACAGGTGCGGACAGTCGATGCAGCGACATAATTGTCTTTTCTGCCCGGTAGTCTTGGACGAACCTATGAAATATTGATCAGTCTGAGGCCATCAAAAATCAGAGTATATAAGCCTACCCCACGACAATGTTCAGGACGATGACTGCTGTGATCACACCTCCCTCGATGTAGTCGTGGATACCGAAGGATATAGCCATAGTGATGAGGAGAACCTGGTTTTACATTGGTACCATTTGGCAACTTGATTGGTGACAGACCGGAGTGTGGCCCTGCAGGAATGATCATACCATAGTTAGACTATTGGAAACCTGCCTCAACAGAATTTTCCAGGTCGATACGCCCTCGATTTCTTGCACCCTATTTGGGCCATCTCGCTCCAAGCGAGTGGCCGCTTCTGTACTTGACAGGCCATATCTGGAAAAGTTGAGTCAGAGAGAGGTAGCAGAAAGAGGGAGTGAGGACTGAAAGTGTCGAACTTACTGAACATCGACCTGTAGAAGACTTGCCAGTTGTTCAGGAGAGAGAGTGTGTGCACAGTGAGCTGAGCTCTCGTCATAATTGCCAAAGGCAGCATTTGCCGATTTATAGGGCTGTGGCGTAGAGACTTCTAGAGTGGCAGGATACTCTAGCTTCTCCACGCTGAGTCCTGCTTTTACTTCACATGCGTGATTACTTGAGATTGAGGTGTGTCTGTCCGTAAAAGGACATATAGGAGGCTCCGTCGATTCCTCGACATCAGGCGGAGACGTTTCAATGCCCATCCAATTAAGGTTCGTACAGATGTGGGAAACCCCTTTGATGAATATCAGACTTACGAGCCTCAGTGTATGATGATGGGATTGGTTGTACCTCTCTGATGGCGAAAAGCAAATGAAAGTTAGGATGCGAATAGAGGTCAGGGGATCGTCCTAAGATATACCAGTCATCGCATGGATGAAGCTCTGGCGTTGACCTGAGGATCGTGAGGGGTTGCCATGCTTCCATCATCTCCTGCATGGAATATCATTGGAAAACGATGGATCGCTTTATCTTGGCCGAGTTCATTCGTACCTCAGTGTAATCGACACTGGTTGAAAGTGAAGTGAGACCAAATTCCGGGGCCGCTAAAGGCTTGGGCCATGGGTGGCTGGCCGTTAGATTGGTTGGCGATCGATCCGAGGACAGCCTCGCCGAGGCCGACAAGGATTGTTACTCCATTATGATTCGTTCCCAGAGCCAAAAGTCATGATACTTACTCGAGGCCAAGGATGCGAACTAGCCATACATGCTCACATATATCGGTGGGAGCGAATCCCGCGAGATACCTTAAACCACGTGAGCCGTTATGCACAGTATCAACTCAGAAATTTGCTACAATGCATATCTAGGTACATCTAACTCGATGCAACAAGTATACAGCAGGCGCCAATGCAGGTGAGCTGGTGCCAATTACTGAGAGCTCTAGTAAACCGATACTTGCGTGACGGACAACCTTCTCCGTGAGTGGAGCAGTTGTCCCAGAATGGACTCGGAAATCCTTGGCCATGATGGTCATGCACTGCCACTTTGCCAATATTCTCGGCGCTTGGAGATTGAAGATGTAACACTTTGGAGTGCTCTTAATTCATATGTTGAAAGCAGGAAGAACCCAAGCCTAGCGGAATGACGCCGGTCATCGTGAGCGGGCTTCGATAGCTTGGGTCAGTTGCAGTAAGTCACATGGTACGGAGTAGTTCCGCTTGGTATGGTTCAAAAGAAAGGAGACGCATTCTCAATCTGATTGACCCCCTACCTGCAAGGTATGAATGCTGGAAATTGGTGCTGCTCTGTCTCGATAGGTAAAATTACTACGTCACCAGTACCTACTGGTAAGTCTGGTATCCAGTGTCCTCTTAAGCCAGAGGCGCCGGATACGGCGGGAATCTTGGGCCCGGACCGCCTCTGTTACTACCTGGATCATGCAGAAACAAGAAATGAAGCTGCACAGGACAAGATCCTACAGGTGTTAGATGTATTATACCTCTCTAGAGGCATGTGTGTTGTTCCCTACCATGCGTGGGTGCCATACCTAAGCACTCCGTACGTGGGATGGAGCGGGCCATTCAAGCAGCCCGATCAGCCAATCGGGAAACAGCCCGCATTGTTCAATCTTGCTGCCAAAAATTTCCAGGCGGAAGACCGTTCGCTCTCTCTCTCCCTCCACACAGCAGCTTCTTCTTTGACGCCAAACCCCCGTCGATTATCCGCTTTTCCGAGGGATCTGGTGCTCTTCTCCGGTCTTTACTTAGGCGTTCAACTTGTTTCCGACCGGCAATCATCGACAAGCACAATGGTTGGGCCAACCGCCTCCCTTACTCCTCTTACCCGCGCCGACGGGTCGGCATCCTACAAATGTCCTTCGACGGGGTTCGACGTCCTAGGTTCCGTAAATGCTCCTGTCGAGCTGCCTGGTCGCCGTGATGCATTGAAGCCTGAAGAGGCGACTATCGAAGTTTTTGTGAAGCCCGGGACCACTCCTGGTGGGGTTGGTGAGAGAAATGTCGAGGGGATCCTCAAAACTATGCTGGGAAGGTTGATTCTGGGACGAGAGAAGGGATATCCTCGCAGAGGCGTTGTCCTTACATTGGCGATAGTGGGTGGTGAGAGTGTCTGTCGGGGAGATTCGGTGAGTGTTTATTGCAATCGTGGTGGAATCTTACACTTAGGCGAAAGTGGACATGGCTGACTTTGCCTGTACTCAACAGTATCTGACTCTCCTTCCTGCTCTTCTCCATGCTGCTCTTCTGGCTCTAATCTCGGCTTCTGTTCCCCTATCGATGACCTTTACTGCATCCATCCTGGCAGTCACATCGTCAGGAGATATTATCCGACAGCCTTCTGTTAGCCAAGCGGCAACCGCGAATTCTCTTCACGTTCTGGCATTCTCCAGCAAGGGCCACCTACTTCTGAATGAAAGCCAGGGAACATTCGACTTCGCTACTTGGGAAAGAGTTCATCAGCATGCCTCCGCAATCTGTCGCGGCACATTGGCCGGCAGTGCCGATGGCGACGTCAATATGGATGAAGAGGGAGGGGAGCTAGGGTTAAAGAAATTTATGCGGGAGACTATTGAGGACAAGGTCTACCAGGATTATGCTTGGAAGATTGATGCGGCGTGATGTTGGGGCTAGAGTGATCACAGCTGCATGAACACATTGATAGCACATAGGTGCTATTTCGGGATGCTCCTTCAAGCCGTGGCCTCCCGTGCATTCGGCAACGTCAGATTCGCTCATTTGGCATGACCAGAGCACATTTTGGCGTCGGGACTATTGCAAGGCACACCCTAGGGCCCTTCCATTGGTGCGCACAGGCGTTTTGCTCTCCGGAGTCACCATCTTTAATGGGTTCTTCCACGAGCCCATACCGCACGACACACTAACCTAGTCTCTGGCTCTAAAGTTCTGGCCCCGGCGTGCTATCACGCTGTCGACTTCTGCTAGACTATCTTTGGCCGTTCGTGGGGTTATCCGTTTTGACACTGAATTTCTAAATATGGATCACCAATTGGAGGAAACAACTGCTCCAACCTGCAGAAGATAGGACTGAATTAGCCAGCTATAAACTCAAATTTATACGATATTCACAGTGCATCAAGCAAACTGCTGACTACGAATGGGTCCCGTGGTGACTTGACCTTATTGCCACGATCCTTCTCCCTTCACGCTCCCGCGTCTGCTCGATGACCGTCCGCTCCCACTGCTGGGACCAAAACCTTTTATGTTAGAGAAAGCCATTCCTATCCCAAGAATAACGTAGCACTTCCTTAGAGCAGCAAGGTGATGATACACATGCCATCGGAAAGAATGCTGCTTTACCTTGTTTTGGAAATGCAGAACAACATGCTTTATGATGATTTGTGATCGATCTGAAATGATGATGAAAGATTACGGACCATGGAAGCAGATCGAAATGTGGACTGGACTGCCCATAATTTGCCGGACATTCTTGCTCGCGATCCCTGGCTGAGGAGAGGCTAAGGATGTTTGTAATCCGCCGCCAAACCCCGTTACATCCGAACACGGCTGCCGCGGCTGCTCCGCCTTCTCCAGTACTAGACTAGTCACTATCTTACGTTAGGAGCAGTCGGTCCTTTTCCCCCGTCCCTGTTGGCCATTTTGCCCTTTTTGTCCATCTTTCGCTGGAAATAACAATAATTCCGTCTTACATCTGAGAGTCACAACACCCCAGGTCGATGGAATAATCACAAATCCCTCCTTCCAAGGCAGTCGGCCCTACACCTCCGTTACTCATTCGCGGGCTTTATCATCCCTCATGGCTTCCTCTTCTTCAAGCCATGGCCCCCTGAGACTCCAGTCCGACTCCCTTCCCTCTGAATCCTCCGCTCTCTCCTCATCCTCATCACCGCCGCTCTCCTCCGCAGCCCCACCATCAGGTCCAACTTCTCCAGACTCTTGTCCCTTGACGTCCACAACCGTCGGTGCCTCGCTCCTTCGGGATTATGCCAGTCATATAGATCCTTCTCAGTCGACAAATGATCTTCATGTGAACCAACCCATTTCTGGACTGTCCAACAGTAGGGCCAACGTCCCGCAGAAGCTTGAGCTTCACCAGGAAGAAGCGCCGCCTGTCGCCTCGTTACCTACGTCCCCTTTCCTCTCATTCCGCAGTGCGGGCCCCTTGGGTTCGCAGCATCGCAAGAACGCATCGTCAAGCGACCTTATACCCCGACAGACGATCATGAAGGCTCTCGCGTCGCGACCGTCGCTGTGCACCAATCCCAATTCCAATGCGCCGCTGGCGGCGTCCCTCGGATTACTAGCTACAAGCCCCAATTCGAGTTCTTCAGCGGAGACGGAGCAACAACGGTCCAGCAACTCATCGTCACAGAAGCTTTCCGCGGCTCTATCGAACCTACAGCTGGGCAAATACCTGGAAAGGTCGCCGTCGACGGCGCAGCTGGTCCTGCAATCGCCATGCTTTTTCCATCGACGGTTCGACGATGCCGTCAACATTCAGAAGGTGTTGGAGGAAATCGCCGACGATGAGTGGTTGTCTCATTCGCGGCTGGTACAAACTGCAACAGGAGTGCGGGAGGTGTCGAAGCAGCTTCAAAGGCGGCCGATCAAACGGGCAGTGAAAAATGTGATGATCGTGACAAAGGCGCGCGATAACCGTCTGGTGCACTTGACGCGAGAGCTAGCCGAATGGCTTCTCTCGACCCCGCGATATGGGAGCGACTTGGGGGTTAATGTATGGGTTGATTCCAAGCTACGGCATTCCAAACGATTCGACGCAGCGGGACTGCTGCAATCTGAGCCGCGATTTGAGCAGATGTTGCATTACTGGACTCCGGACCTCTGTTGGGCCGCTCCAGAGAAATTTGATCTTGTTCTTACGTTAGGCGGGGATGGTACGGTCCTCTTCACGTCCTGGCTTTTCCAGCGGATTGTTCCGCCGGTGCTCTGCTTCTCGCTGGGAAGCCTGGGCTTTCTAACGAATTTCGAATTTGAGAATTACAAATCACATTTGAATGCTGTCATGGGAGACATCGGCATGCGCGTTAACCTGAGGATGCGGTTCACCTGCACCGTCTTCCGCAAAGACCGAAGCAAAGGGGCAGAAGCAGGTGCGGTCGAAGAAGGAGAGCAATTCGAGGTCCTAAACGAGTTAGTTATAGATCGGGGGCCTTCACCTTATGTGTCAAATCTTGAGTTGTACGCCGACAATGATCTCTTGACCGTGGTTCAGGCGGACGGCTGCATCTTCTCCACGCCAACTGGTAAGTTCCCTGGGCTTGGTCCAAATGGTCTACAATTGGCTAACGCACTGGGTTAGGATCTACGGCGTACTCTCTGTCTGCAGGTGGCTCTCTTATTCATCCTTCTATTCCTGGCATTCTTCTTACTCCTATCTGCCCCCACACTCTGTCTTTTCGTCCAATGGTATTGTCAGACTCGCTGTTGCTCCGTATCGCCGTTCCGACGGGATCCCGCTCCAGTGCCTACTGTTCATTTGATGGCAAGGGACGCGTTGAACTCCGCCAAGGGGACTATGTGACCGTCGAAGCCAGCCAGTACCCCTTTCCTACCGTGGTCTCCGGGAGCGGGGAATGGTTTGAAAGTATTCAGCGAGCACTGCGTTGGAACACCCGCGGAGCCGTTCAGAAAAGCTGGAATCGCGATGGGACTGATGACATACCTGCGGATGAGGAAGAGGAGGAATGGGACATTGATACCGATGCCGGTCTGGTTGGCACCGACAGCGGTCTTGGGCCCAGCGAGGACGGTGACTCGGGGACTACCAGTCCGATGAAGCGACAGATGAGTCTGCTCAATATGTAGCTGGCTCCGCCGGCCTTTGTATATTTCCCGCTTGCTTTTTGTTCGTGTGTTCGTGTTACACCTTACTGCGATGCTCTCCGCGAGACATTACGGATCCGCTATGGGACTGGCGTTGGTTATATATTTGTTTACGGGATACGGGACATTCACTTTGCTTGAAGAACATGGCATAGACTTTCAAAGGATGATACTTCTGCGGTTTTAGACTATTTTGTTCAAGGTGTGCTTAAGATTGGATTCTGTTACTACTTTGCTGGTACAAACTTGCTGTGATACAATTGAACTATTAGAGAAATGGACCCTCTATGATCCATTCGGACAATATCTCTTCGTACACTCACAGAATGTCGTTTGCAACCCGGTTTCCAAACTTTTAGTTGGACGTAGAGAATATTTTCAAATAAGGGACCCCTCGACTCGTGAAGTAAAGCCGAACCAAACACCATACCATATATACCACATACCACACTTACCAATCGCAACACTCCGACAAAAGCGCCGCAAGCTCCTCCAACCACCTCTTATCCTCCTCGTCGAACCCCGCCGGCTCCGTACAATCAACATCGATGATCGCAACCGTCTACCACCGATCAGCAACACAACACAACACAGAACACAACCTCAACCCTCCAACGGAATCAACGAAATCAAGAAATCAAACTCACCTCCCCACCAACCAAAATCGGCACCACAATCTCACTCCGACTACTCGCGTCACAGGCAATATGTCCCGGGAAACTCAACACATCCGGCACAACCACCGTCTCGCGCTTCTCGGCCGCGGAACCGCACACGCCCCGCCCGAAGCGGATCTCCTGGCAGGCGGGGCGGCCTTGGAATGGGCCTAGCAGTAGAACATTTGTGATGTTGTTGTTGTTGCTTGGAGGGTTTTGGGACGAGCCGAGCGCGGGGAATTTATCCTGGCGGATGTAGAAGCCAGCCCAGTTTACGGAGGAGGAGGGGGACGGGAGGGCGGCGTAGGCGTGCCAGAGGAGGGAGGCGATGTTGGAGAAGTTGCTGTGTTTAACTGTCAGAAGAGCAGATCTTGTGTGGGTTGCTAGGGACTGGGGTGATTACCTGACCTGAAGGTGTGTTAGCGAGTTTGGTAAGGGTATGGGAGGCGAGGGGGGAACTTACCCAATTGCGCTGGCCTGTTACTAGGCCCTTGGCTTGTTCGAGGACTTGTGCGTATACCTCTGCCTTGGTGGGTTCTTGGGAGGTTGAGAAGTAGGAGGAGTCGGCGTGAGGCTGGATTGTAGTTTGGTCAGCGCATCCTGGAATGTGTGCTGGGTAGGATATCAACCGGAAGAGCGGTGACGCACCATGATGGATGTAGAGGTCTATCAAGTTTATATGTACAAAACGCGAATTGTGTAGGTGTAGTGGTGATCTGAGAAATTGGGGAAGTTGTCGTCTCGGAGAGAAAAACGTAAGATAACTGGTGTGGGGTTGTTGCTGCTTATCGATAAGACCTTCGTTGACGGAATCGATGGGAAGATAAACGCCATAGGGACGTCCAACCTACGAGGGTCCACAAGCACATCTCAGATCCTTACAGTATAGGTGGGAAAGGTAAGGGAAAACTACTACGACAAGGGATTAAGGTCTTCTAACTCATGAAGCTGAGCCTGAATGCTCAATCTATGTCTTTGTCATTTATTACTACTAGGCTGGCAGCAACTCTCGCCTAAGGAATATAATTATGTACATGACTAACATGAGCCAAGGATAGAAGAATCTATAAATCCATATAGTGCACCTAGGATAGCAGCTAAAAGTACAAATCGAGCCGGAGGCCATGGGGTCCTGCGATAGCGCGAGACGTCCCATTATCAGAAACCAAGAGATCCCGGTTGGAAAGTGGCGTGTTTACCGAGCACCCTCCCTTGGCCCAGCTGCTTGGTTGACACTTCAGATCCGCTGGGCAGTCCTTTGCATCCTTACAAAAGGCGCCTATATCGTCTTCTTTGAGCCAGCACCATGGGTCGCCCTTGCTCCATTCTTCCTTGACTGGCTCAGAGGTTTTTGGATCACATTTGCTCCAACACACACCCTGTATACCATTCATAAGAGCGCAACCGCCAGAGACGACTGGTGGTTTCGAACATCCGCCTCGTCTCCAATCACTTGGTTGACACTCAAGCTTTGATGGACAGTCCTTTTCAGTATTGCAAAAGGCACCGATATCACCATCTTTCAGCCAGCACCATGCATCACCTTCTTCCCACGTTCCACCGACTGGGTTACCGGTTGCGGGATCACATTTATTCCAACACACACCCTGTATGCCACCCATAAGAGCACAACCGTCAGCAGAGGTTGGTATCGGGGCTGTCGTGCTGGTAGTGGTAGTAGTAGTGGAAGTCGAGGATGGAGTATCGCCAGATCCAGGGTCGGAACCGGATCCAGGATCAGGGCCGGAAGTCGGCTTGACGGTTGGGAGCACCGGCACAGCCATGGTTCCGGGATAGCTTGGATGATGACCATTGGCACGTTGTCTATTGTCGTGCTGACCTGCTCGCTGCCGCCAATGTTCGGTATTTGGATAACCGCGCCGTTGACGTTGATTGACCCTCCCGTTACAGTATACGGTTCACCCCTGACGATGGCGATCTCCGGTATACTGGTGGTGACGATGGAGGTCGATATGGCTCCATATCCATTCGCACCCTGATCGTCATTAGGATCGATCGTGACACCTGTCGGGCAGTACTGCCCCGTTGTGGTGGCCGAGTTGGTCGCCGAGCATCCGGTGAACTTGGCTGTCCTTGTTGTCGAGCAGCTGGTGGTAACCTGAGTGGTTTCAAGGGAGGAGAAGCTCTCCGTGATAATACTGCCGGGTGGAATTGATTGGACAGATACGGGTGGTAGGACGATGGTGGTGGTGCTATCTCCAGCGGAGACAATGACGGGGCTCGGCGAATAGCTAGGCGTCATATAGAAGGAGAAGGGATCCGTTTGACCGGAGTCAATTGGCAGGTTGAAATATGCAATGACCGTGGTGGTAACTAAGCATGGAACTGTAAGAAGCTGGGTTATTTTGGCACATATGGGCGGATATAGTAGAACATACCAGGACTGGGATAAAGCGTCTTGATTGTGGAGCCTCCTAGTACAATGGAGGTTGTCACAGATGAGGAATGTATTGTCGTCTTCGTGGGTAGAATCAGCTCCGGCAAAATGAGGTCACAAGGGGGAATACACTCCACGACAGGAGAAGGTTGTGGGAAGATAATCGGGTCGACGTAGACATCACCAGAGCCACTGCCATTGTCGCCTCCTGTACCAGAGCTATGCGCGACACATGCTCCTTCAGGACAGTAGCCGTATTTACAAGTGAAGGCGCACAGATCTCCATATATCGTTTCGTCCATCCCTGGGCCAGCCTTACCCACGACATTGGTCGCCTGCGGAAGAGTATGTAGAGCACCTTTGGCGGTACACGTACAGGCGGCAATGGGGCAGTGACCCAGGTTGCAGGCAAAACTACAGAGACCCGCGAGACCACCCTCGCCAGTACCAGCAATACATGCTGGGGGCAAGAAGTCTGAGACAGTCGGAATACTCAGCGGAGCTGACACTGTCCCGCACGCGTTGTCTGGGCAGTATCCATATGGGCAGTCGAAAGCGCAGAGACCACTATAGCTGGCACTTAGGCCCTCCAGAGGGTAGCCCATGGGGCCTGTGGCATCGGGCGTATCTCTCGGCTCGCCTTGCTGCTGGCAGTAACAGGCACCGAGGGGACAGTAGCCATATTTGCAGGCAAACTCTCAAGGTGAGGCACAGAGGCAATCTTTTGTCTTAGATTTCTTAGATCTTAATGGATTGTTAAGCCTTCTCCCCAATTAGTTATACATAAGTCAGTTCGTAAATCAGTCACTATACCCGAATTCGTCGTACCGTGGCGTCACGGGCTGCAGCCTTAATATTTCGTCCCACTCCTCTTCTAAAAGTATGGACGACCAGGCGAAAAACATTGTGCGCAAATTATTCGTTCCTGGAAATCCCAGGGCGTCCAATCTGATGCTATCCCAGAATACAAGACCATATGGGCGAAAGGCGGAGTAGCGTACGCATCTGAGAGGCGATAAATTGTGTGTACTGCATTGCCATAAACACTGTGTGCCTCGGGAAGATCGGCCACCAGACATATCCAGTTCTGCCTTGTCCCATTGCTCGTCTGTCATTGATGTATAACGACCGCAGCAATGACTGAATTGCTCCGGAATTGAACCGGAGAGCAACCAGGAGTATAACGTTCCACGCCCACCTGCCTGTTCATCTAGCCATTGAAGAAGAGTTGTTATCTGCTCGACCTGTCCGTCATTGTCCATCCATAATATTGTTTTCCAGAACCCTTCCACGTTGTCATCCAGCAACGTCTGTGCTGGCTGACCGTCTGTCGTTATAACTGAACATTCCGCGTGTGTCTTCCGAAGTTCACAGAAAAGAACAATACAGAGTAAACCGTGAAGTAAGCGTTGCTCCTCAAACCACGTTGCTGGTCCGATATCAAGGGGACCATAAGGAATTCCCTGAGGGCGTTTATTCCGGTCAACTACTCTCCTCGTATTGATATACTTGGTCTTTTTGGGCAGATGCTCCACCCGCAACTTTAAGCACCTAGCAATCATTGAATGAAAGCATACATGCGCGATTCGTCGCAAGCGGGTCATTAGGACAAGGAGTCGGCAAAGAATGACCGACGACGTCGACCTATCGGAGACGGTCCCTGGAGGAACCGCTCCCTAACATATCGTAGGGTGCTTAGAATGTGTGTGTATGACGCCTCCAGTGGCTCTGCAGCTTCGTCATTCGCCTGCCGGCCCTGTAAACCCGAGGCTCGGGTCCAGACAAGGACCAAGAGCCTGACTGCATGCTGAACATGTGGGAGCAGGCCCCTTTCGCGAGCAGGGTTTCCGATAATCGCATCCACAATCACGGCGAACAGATCGGTATTCTCGTGGAGCAATGCCGCGACAACCGGAGATGCATTATGCAATGTATACAGCGAGGGCAAATCTGCGAGATTCGAAAGAATATTTTGTAGGACGAACCAAGGAAGTCGGCCGAATGGATCCATCCCTTTCGCAGTTCTTTCCCGAGTGGTATATAGTGTGATTTTCAAATTATCAACCAAACCGTCGCCGACTAGGGACGCGGACTTGGCAGCGAGAGTATCGATTGATAATTGCAGCGATATTCTAGACAGGCGATGAGAGGATGTTGAGTGAAATACTGAGTATGGGAGTATGCCTCTTAAGCGAATGCTGATTTAAGCTACTCAGATAGTTAACTAAGCGTCGGTCCTATTTCCCGATTGGGAACACAACTATTGCACAGGAAAGATCAGTGTTGAAAGGAGTACTCCGTACATCGTTGAGGTAGAGTAGACGAACTTGAGGTATTTTCATGCGGCACAGGCATAAACTTCACTTAATTAGACAGGAACATGGGACCAGAAACGGTGACCAGTAAGTCGTCTAGCTAACTACCTAGAGTTGCCACTGGTTGACTGTTAGCATCAATTACGTACCTTCAAATTTCATACAGAAGTGAGACATTAATTCTACAGGGTAGCATTTCCAGTATTTAGTTCAATTGGTAAACAGCGCGATTTGCTTAGCAGTTGTTAATACATATCCACCGCCACCATTATTGCTCCTGTGTCCACTCTTCGCCCGTCACCAACATGATCCATCTAGATAGAAGCACAGGCCATTTTGAATTTATTATTATAGAGAATTGTATTGATCAGCATATGCCTCCACGCCGCCCAGACCTCCAGACCCTTGTCTCCCAGACCTCTATATTGATCTAGTGTGGACTACGAAGTATTCGCTATTATCGCCTAGACTACTTCGTACACTGATACCCTTGGGCCATTGATAACCAGCCTCGCCGCGTCGGTTAAAATCCGTGGGTAAACTGTGTACGCCACTACCTAAAGTAAACAGATATGCGGTATCCAGATGGATCGATGGCGCACTACTATATGTCTACAACATCTTGAGCCTAATTTCAGCTTGATATCGTTTCCTGTACCGATGCGAAAGGGGAACTGAGAAATCTGGTCTGTTTCCTCCCGTCTCCCTGACAGTGATGAGCAACATCAAGTCAGCCTCAGTTTGCTAGACATATACTTCTGAAATTCTTTCATACTGTATCAGTCTTCACTCTTCACGCTGTCATTCTGCAAGAATCTTCGGGTGTCTTCACATTCCCTGCAGTCCCAATTGCACAATGTTGTTGAGAATTCCTCAAATAGGCCTGGCAGCCATCTTCTGCTTCCTCTCTGTTGCTACAGCGTCAGCCGACTGTCTCTCAAACATCACTTACAATCAATTGGGGTCGTTCAGCAGCGCACCCATTACATTCAAGTTTGGACTACTTAACGCCACAGCCTGCGGACAATACTGTGAGAAGACCAAGAAGTGTCAGGCATGGTCCTACGTGGAAGGAGAGGCAGCCAATGTCACCTCCACATCTGATCATAATACATTTGTAGGATTATATCAGTCGTTCTCTAAGATGCCGTGCCAACACCCATTGAAGCCGAATTTCGTGGCATTGACGCTAGATGCTGAGGGATTACTTGAGAGGCTGAAATCGACAATGTATGGGAGTTCTTCAGATATACGCGTCTGGTACACATCCCCATAACCTCTGACCATATACTCGATCCTTTCCCAATGGCAGTCGGAATGGTTCACGCCGTGGACCCAGCTACAACATCTCCAGGTGAGCCTAGAATGGAGCACATGGCAACAATTTAACCACTCTATGAATTAGGGCAGTAAATCATAGAACCTTCCTCCACGTGGTTGTAAAGAGGTAGTTCCGCTTCCCCAGTGCATGTTAGGAACGCTGAGATAGTCCATGCTATGGGTCCTGACGAAGTACAACAACAGAAACCCGCTTAGCCAGGGGAGGGGCTTTACGACTCGCGAACTGCTTTCAGTTCACGACGCGCTATGTGGGCTTGATGCTGACATGGTTGAGGTAGTGGAGTTGTCGCGTATGTATGGCACGACTGCGGAGACGACTACTCTTGTGGCAGCGGAGGAAGCTCACTCATTACTCGCTTTGATATCAGGCTGCCACGGTTCAACAGTAGTACATTAGAGATACTTACCTGGGTCGACTTCCAACTTCTGCATGGTCTGTTGACAGCAAGTATCGGGTTCTTTCTTATCCATACACAATATATATACAATCTGCATCACGATTACTTCTTCTCTACCTCTGCCTCCGATCGAACCACCTCCTCCCGTCCATGCAACACGCTCATGCCTCCCGGTCCAGTGAAGTGTTTCTGACCGGTAGTGAACCAGGTAACAAGACTGATCAGCGCAACCACACCAATGGCGGCTGAAGTATAGTTCATGGAGTCCTTGTCAACGGGGTAATAAGACGGGAAATTGAAAGTGATAGATGCGAAGAGCAGAAACAGAAGCCCCAGGACATTGAGGGTGATCGAGATCCACGGCGGCAGAGAAAAGGGACCCCTCATTTCTTTCTGGTGGCCAGTGAAGTAGCCAAGGAGCCGGCTGAAGAGGGCCATTGCGTATGATAAATCTGTAGAGGATTAGCAGGGGTTTTGCATATGACTGACCCCGACAAGACTTACAGAATCCCTCTGTTGCAATCGCAATTACAGTTTCGAATCCAGTCGCGGTGCCAAAATCAATAGCATCCAGAGCGAGTTGTACAGCCAGTGTCAGTAGCACGGCGTTGACGGGAACTTGGCGCTTGCTTTCAACTTTGGCAAAGACCTTGGAGAAGGGCAGGCCGTGGTCGCGGGCGAATGCGTAGACAGAGCGTGAGCCCTCAGCGAGCAGATTGTTCCCCGCAACAATGACAATGACGGCGATCATGCTAGACAGGAAGCACGTACCAACTTTGCTGCCGGTGGAATCGTAGAAGATCTGAATGACAGGTACGCCGGTGGATGTGCTAGCCGTTTCGTTAATGTCGCCGATGCAGAAGCAGAGGGTGAGGAGGAATGCGAAGCCGGTGACTGCGCCGAGTACGACGGAGAGAATGATGGCTTTGGGGGCTTCTTTCGAGGCGGACTTCATCTCCTCGGTCATGTGTGCGGGTGCATCGTAGCAGCACATCCCGAAGCAGGACTGGAGGATGCCGACGATAGCGGCCATCGCTGGACCCCAGCCGGTGAAATTCTGGAACTCGGAGAAAACGAACGCTGGGGCTTGTTTGTGGTCGTTTGTGGCGAGGAGGACGATCATGGTGATGATGAAGGAGCCCACGTTCCAGATTAGGATGAAGCGTGATATGCGGTTGAGTAGGTGAGGGCCCCATATATTGATGGCGGCAGCTATAAAAGCAACGAGGTACGCAACAAGAACGGTCTGCCATCGTTCAATGGTGTATTCAGGAAAGACGAGATTGGCCATTCCGAGGACAAAGTTGGCAGCGATGTAATTGTTCGTGGCACCCATTGCAAGAACCCCTGCTTCAAATAAGTATGCGGCAAAGTATACTAATGACCGGGAATTTATCGACATACCTATAAGCATGAACCATCCACTTATGTATGACAGCCCGCGTGCGATCTTTGGGGGAGCCAGAGCGGCCACCCACGAGTACTGACCCCCCGCAACAGGGTACATGGAACACATCTCCGCCATGGGAATTGCAACTGCAAGTGTAAGAAGACTGACGCCGATGAAGCTGAATACCATGACCGGAGGGCCACCGGACGTGACTCCTACAATAAAGACGCCGCTCAAGGCAGTCCATCTGATAATTCAGCATGCATTCCCACCATGAGCAGAGGAAGAGGAAGACGTACGATGTGACGATGCTGAAGCTGAAACCGATCATACCCAGGAGGCCAAAGGTCCGCTTGAGCTCTGCTCTACGTTAGTATAGTCCATCCGTTTGGGACAGCTCTCGTGCCTTGTTCATAGCCAAGATTCTCAAGACGTATATCTTCTGCAGCTGTCGGCTGGAAGACTTGCTTGTTATCCTCCTCGATAACCGCCATGGTGACAGTAGGCACAGAATACCTCTCTCTTGCAAGATTTCAGAAGTTGGTCATTCAACGATCGGTTCCAGATGAAACGACCCTGCCGAAGGCAAGAGGCTTTTAAACTCCAAGTCCCCCTCCCAGACGCCTCCATGAGCCTGCATCTTCCCTTGATATAGGAGTCACCCCTTCGGACTAGAACAACAGACGGAGAAGCCATAGGGTTGAAGGTAGAGAGCGAAGGCTTGATAAGGATAAGATAGATAGTCGACCAAGATTTCCCAATCGAGAAGGTCTCCGCGATGACAAGTGGGTCGGTTTGAAGGTTAAAGTCGAATGATCGTGAGGGGAATCAAGGAAAGTCGAATCAGCTAAGAGACATATGTGGGATAGTCTAATAATGGGCCCAGCATATGTGCGAAAGTGCGGAGATATCGTGGAGTGTCATTGCATTTGTCAAGAAGGACCTGTGGTTTTCGCTCTGATAACGCAGTTACTCTACTCCACCTCATCCAACTTTCCCAGGTGCCGGACCAAGAGGAATATCGAAAGGCCACTCTTTCTCAATAGGATCCATTCTTACAATTGGACAGCTGATCCGGTCTCACCGAAGCCATCATCACGCTGAAAAAGCATTCGTTTCTCGGGGATGGGGATCAATCAGGACTCAGGAATACTAACACATCGATCACGTAGTCAACTGGGACGAAGACCGAGATAAGTAGACGGAGATAGTACTGTGGAGAAGTCGCTAGCTATTTCTTGAGTCTTTTATCAGACAGAACTCAGGCTGAGACTCACCCAGTCAGCATTGCTTTGCTCCTGTCGCCATCGCCTACCTTCCTTGTGTTTCATCGCATACCACGTTGCTTGTACATTTTATTCATCACTAACAATATAAACACAAGTTACACAACATTAGGGGCTCGCAGATAATCTTGCTCCCGAGTAGCCTTGCCTGTATAGCCCCAGCAACGATGATTCTGAAATAGCATGGCATGGTGCTGAAGACTTATATAGATACTCGTTCCCGCCAGTCTTGCCTGCCAGTTGCAGTGAGACTTGAATACGGCTGGCTCAGTAGGGGATCCGGAATCTTATCCCAATCCTTGATTGCGACACAGTCAAATGCAGCCATTGATTCTACCCTGCTTGACTCGCATTCGCGGCATTCCTGGGTCCGCACCAAATAGCCACTTTCGAGGGACTTCAACACATTGATATCAGCAACCCAATTCCCCGAGTCAAAAACGGATATCACTGCCTCTGCAAGAGATATCTCTTTGAACTGGGAGCTATATTGACGAACGTCCACCTTAAGTACAAACCAGTGAAGCGGACATGGAGGGAGGTGCTCTTCAAGGCGTCCTCAAGCATGCCGTAGACCACATTGTGATTCACGAGATTCCAATGCTCGGAATCAGCGTTTATGCGCTTCAGAAACTACTGGCGGAATCATATGTATCATGCCGGCCGGTTAACGTTCCCGATGACTCTCCAAATAGCGTAAGCAGGTGCAGTCCTGCGGGTCACACTGCCATCGCGGCAACGTAAAGGGGTCTCATGGGGAGTTTGCAAAGACACGTTAGAGGTCCTCTAGGTTTATATCAAGCCAACCAGACTCTAGCATGCAGAGAGCAGCAAAATCCTGCCTGAGTTATACTTGTAACCCCAGGTTCGCGGTAATCAGCTAGTGGCTCAACTTTAAGTAGGGAGAAGTCCAAGTTTAGATTAGCAAGAGCTATTGTAGCTTCTTGCGTTGCACCTGCTAATAACACCCCAGGCCACCCGAAAGTGCTCGCATTGCGGTCGTGGCACGGATGATCATATCAAACTCGAAGTCATGATCTGGATCTTCATGCTGTGTTCTGTGCTCTAGGTCCCTATGCGAGACTTCCTGCTGAGCGCTCACATGTGCCAAGCTTCAGCGCAGCATAAAGGGACTGACAAGGCTGTGGTGGCTTATGAGCCGATCATCCTGACTAGGCAATAAGACACGAATATACACTAAAGTGCCCTATACGTTATAACATTGCTGAATTACCTTCATGATAAGTATAATATTTGCAGTTGCAATCGCGTTCATTCCCCTACGCAGGGATTGACTGCAGCCGTCACACAATTAGACAGCGTACTATGCGTCCTGAGACTTCTTCTCTAGCTCCAGCTCCCATAACTCCCCTACCAACGTCATCCCAAACCCTTCATGCTCCTCCTCCTTCACCAACTGAAACCCTTCTGCCTTGTATAGCCTCCTCGCCGAACCCAAGATACTCTGCGTCCAGAGCACCACCCGCTTGTATCCCACATCCCTCGCGAATTCAATACACTGCTTTAACAAGGACCTCCCGACTCCCGTTCCTCGAGCGCTCGGCTCCACAAGAAATAAGCGCAGTCTGGCTGTATCGGGCGAGTCTACGTCCTTGACAAGCATCATGCAGCCCACTGGCTCATTGGTTGTCTTGTCAGTGCGCTCTGCGATCCAACAGCGCTCCGAGGTAGGATCATGGTTTTGCTGAAAGTCCGATGCGATCTTGGTGACTAGGGAGATGAACTTGTCGTTGAAGTTGTATTCGGCTGCGTAGAGGGTCCCGTGGCGGGAGATGATCCATTCTATGTCTGCAGGTTTGTGTGTACGGATTGTGATATAATTTGTTGGCCGAGATGCTGTTTCAGCCATTTGGAAGAGGATGGCGTTTGTCAAGTTATGCGAGGTGTTGAAGGTAAAATAGTCCAGGAATAAGTAGCTCGAGGGATCTGGATGGGACACGACATGGACGGTCCAGATGAATGGGTTCTAAGCAATGAAGGACAGTGTTTTCTTGAAGACAATAATCCTCTTTCATTTCTTCTGACGTGAGCGCTACATTTGACAGTTTTGTTGACTGTATGCCTTGATATTTGGTGGGGTATCGATGCCATCGACAGGGCGTGACATGCGCCCTTGGTTGACGAAAGTGTATCTAATCCTACTCCACCACACCCAAAACAGGGTTTTATATTGTCGGCAATTTTTGTCAGTTTACATCTTCATGTTTCCATTGGAATCCATGTCGCTAATAGGTTCGCATGGAGGCTACCTTCTTCTCGCCAAAATCAACGCACTCCCCCATTCAACATCCACCTCCACATCTTTCCAATCATCTCGTTGAAAGGACGGCTCAGTCGCTCGAATCTTGTCCATCATCTCATCAATAATATCACCACGTTGATCGGTATTCCCAGGAGCCCTCCTCGTCCTATCGGGCCATTTCCTCTGCCATGCATGAAACGAGCTCCATGTTCTGACATATTCCTCCATGGACCCCAAAGTCATCCTCGCATGCATGAACCGTGTACCTCCCTCTGCTCCAGGCTCATACTCATCACGAGTGACATCTTCCCAGTCCTCGACCGGCGGCTGGACAGCTCGCAGTTTCTGTTGCACTATGCTCCGACCTGGCTGCTGCCAGTAGCTTCCCAGCAGCCAAGGATCTTGCCCATATGCATACTCATTGATGATATTGGTTGCTCCGGGGTAGGACACCAGCACATGATCCTTGTAGCCCCAGAAAGCCAGCGTGCCTCCGGATCGGACAATTCTTCTCATCTCCGGCCACAGCTTGGCATAGTCGAACCAGTGCGCGCTCTGCGCAGCGGTTACTAGGTCTACTTGCGCATCTTCAGCGAAGAGACACTCCTCTGCTCTTTCTTGGTGGAAGGTTATGTTGGGAAAACCGGTGGACAGCTGCCGTGCCTCTTGGATCATCCCTGCGGATGGATCGCTGGCGAGGACCCGCTGGAAATGTGGACTGAGCTCGCGAGCGACTAAACCATGGCCTGTTCCCAAGTCAAGGGCTGTCCTTGACGGGCCTCTATGATATGCAAGCACGGCGGAGTAGAGCTGCTTTGAGTATGTTGGCCGGAACGCTGCATATAATTGGTGAGAAAAGGTATTGCTCCTGTTGGTCGTTAGGAGTCTTCAACTGACACGAACTCGGAAGACGTACGCAAATGAGGCCATACTGATGGATGGCTTGCTGCTAGTAATGATCAGTTCTTGCACTAGAGCTAGAGCCCGGCACTCTCGAGTAGTGAGTTCGACAATTATGCCCGAGTGGCTCTATCATGATATTCCATGATGCCCGGCTTGTATTAGATTCTCATCCTCCCGACAACGGCAATGTAGCTCAGCCGATAAGCGGCATTTGCAAACCGCTCCGTTTCCGATGTTCGGTTCTTCGCCGAGTCATATCAAACAACTCAGAGCATGGTGCAAACCGAGGTCACGAGTTTTGTAGCAACATTGGCTAGTACTATGCACTGCACAGTTTGACCTGGGGGGTAAGCCCGCTGAGAGGGTAAATGGCAGGAATATGGCACCAAAGGCGCCAAGTACTGTATCACGTGACTGCCACCGAATACGCAATACGATGTTCGCTTCCAAGTATGGAATTTGGAATTTGTCTGGCAAATTGAATTGCTTTCATCCTCTGCTGAGTCTGCTTTATGCGCATAAAAATCATATCTGCGCATATGACCTGACCAACCTTTAACCTAATATGGTTAGGGTATTTGATTATAGTGTCACCCTAAATATGACACTAAGTCGTAGTAACTGATCATGTCCCTGCCAACCGAATACGCAATACGATGGTCGCTTCAAAGTACGGACTATCCCTACCTTTGAACGGCTGTGTAATTCGGGGACATGCCATTTTAGCCAACCATCCGAGCGAGGCTCTCCACTCGGACAAGAAATGGCGTACCATTAGCAAGTCATGTTGCATGTTAGCAGGGTTGCATGTTAACTGGGGTGCTCGGCATTCCCTGAATGAGGAGGACTTGCACGAACTTGAGTAAATATATATAAGAGCATACAGTCAGGCATGATGGATGTTTGGCTGGATCCTCCATCCTTTTTCGTGTTTGACAGAACTCAATATGCTCTCTACGTCATCTGAAAACTCACTTGCTGGCAAGACCTGCCTGGTCACCGGTGGAGCTGGCGGGCTGGGCAAGGCCATTGCGTCTACTTTCCTCGCAGCTGGCGCAAACGTGGTGATCTGCGATGTCAACGAGGACCGACTACAGCAGACGTCGGCAGAACTGGGGGAAACCGGTCGATTGAAAGCTACCAAGGCGGACATAACCTCCGCGAGCGCCGTTCAAACGCTCTTTGACGAGATCGTCGCGGACTTTGGGAAGCTCGACGTCCTGGTCAACAATGCTGGGATCATGGACAGGTTTGATCCAGTGGGAGATCTCGACGAGGCACTGTGGGATAAGGTGATTGGCGTGAACCTCACAGCCCCATTTCTGCTCAGTAAACTAGCTGTGCGGAATATGTTGGCGCAGCCTACCCCTGATGGATGTATTATCAACATCGTGTCTGTAGCCGGTAAGGCCGGCTGGGCAGCGGGTATGTTCTCCGACAACTAAAGTATTCCGATTGCTAACTCGAAGTAGGCGCAGCATACACAGCGAGCAAGCACGGTCTTGTTGGGTTGACCAAGAACATGGCCGCCTTCTACGGTAACAAGGGCATCCGGTGCAACGGGCTGCTGCTGGGCGGCATGAACACTAACATCACCGACGCCTTCCAAGCCGGCTTCAACAAGGAGGGCCAAGACAAAGCCCTCGAGATCGGAACTGCCGTCAAAGCGCGCCTGTGCGAGATCGACGATGTAGCCGACATGTGTCTGTTCCTGGCCTGCGGCAAGGGCTCGAAACTGATCAACGGCGCTCTTATCCCGGCAGACAATGGCTGGACGGGAGTTCTTGGATGATTTAACTTCATTTATATTCGTATTATCTACTCATGTAGTTCCAGTACTTGCCCTTCAACCTCAACAATGCATATATTCCAATCCCCCGCCTCATTCTGGATACACTCTCCCAGATTCACACTCGCAGACTGCACACTCCCATGCCGATCATTCAGCTGCGCATGCAACATCGGTGTCCCCTCCCCTCCTTCCAGCGCAAGATGCACCTGCGATGCGCTCTCCGCGAACGACTCCCCTCCCCAGACAAACTTCCCTAAAGCACAAGCACATCTTAGCATCCGTTTATCCGCTACACGGCGCATTCCTCTGATACCATCGTAACTTACCGTTATTATTCCCCAGACAATCATTCAGATCAATCTCGGAGTAGGACCACGTGCCGTCGGGCCGTTTGCAGCGACTGCTGAGAATGTGTTTGTCTTTGAGGACGATGGTGTCGGAGGTTGTGTGGAAGCCGCGGAGGGACATTTCGATTTCTTCATGTATTTCTTTTCTAGATGATCTCCTCCGCTGACTTTGCGGGTGATGAGCGACCGAGTCGAGGGTTTATAGGGTGACGGGTTCGTTGGCCACATGCGTCATGTTGGGCGAATGTTGATATCAGGGTGGTTTGGGGGTTTCCCTGGGCTGCGGGTTTCATTCCGTGGTTTTACATGGTACTCCGTTGGTGAAAGGGTTAGTGGCTGCATATCGACTGAAGTATTTCTGTAGCCAGTATAATGGACGTAAATGTAGATGGATTGTTGTTAGTGTACGTCCGGAGCAACTGCAAAGTATACGCGGGCGTACTTCGGAGTTCGGGCTATCTAACCAAAACTCTATGATTATACAGCAAGCTATCTGATAGTTACTTGATAGCTCAAGTTATACTAGTACCGAGCGAGTGAGTGAGCTAGAAACCAGCAGCTGTACATCCTGCATCCTGCATCCTGCAACCTGGCTAAATGGCTAAATGGCTATCTACCCCGCTCACTCCGCACTACCTTACTAGCGATTGCAGTAGTGGGGTGTACTGCTTGCTTCATTGGCGGATTGCACGCAGGGGAATATCTGGATTCCCTGTTTCTTGCGCAAGTGAAACTAAGCAGGATGAGGGTAATCTGGGCAATATCGGAAATAGGATATAAAACGAGTGCCTAAGTCCGGCCTTCCGGGAGAGCCGATGGTATATCTATCTGGAAGGCAGCTTCGTCGAGAAGTCACAAGCACAAGGTACTATACAGTGCTAAAATGAAATATGTCCAACTCGGATCAAGCGGACTGCGCGTCTCGCCCATCTGCGTGGGCTGCATGAGCTACGGCAGCCCCGAGAAACGCTTCGACTGGGCACTAGGCGAGGAAGACGCGCTCCCCGTGCTCGACCACGCCTACCGATCGGGGCTTAACTTCTTCGACACGGCGAATGTCTACTCGAACGGCGACTCGGAGGTGATTCTCGGCAAAGCGATCAAAAAATACAACTGGCGGCGCGAGAACATCGTCATCGCGACCAAGGTGTGGGCGCCCGTCGGTCGCGGCAAGGAGTATCCCCTCTTTATGTCCAACGAGGAACGCGACAATGCCGGCTACGTGAACGAGTACGGGCTCAGCCGGAAGCACATCTTCGATAGTATCGAGGCGAGTCTGAAGAGGCTGGATCTGCCGTATGTTGATCTGCTGCAGATCCACCGGTTTGATCCCAACACGCCTGTGAAGGAGACGATGGAGGCGCTGCATGATGTTGTCAAGTCGGGCAAGGTGCGGTATATCGGGGCGTCGTCGATGTGGGCGCATCAGCTGTTGGAGTATCAGTATACGGCGCGTATGAACGGGTGGACCGAGTTCATCTCCATGCAGAATTTCCATAACCCTATCTACCGGGAGGAAGAGCGGGAGATGTTTCCTGCGTGTGCCAAGTTCGGGATGGGTGCCATTCCGTGGAGTCCGCTTGCGATGGGCTTCTTGACGCGGCCGTGGAAAGCGTTTGAGGAAACCACTCGAGGGAAATCGCTGAATGGTAAACTAATGGGCCACCCGTTTACCGAGACGGACAAGAAGATCAGCGAGAAGATCGATGAGATTGCCAGCAAACGCGGTGTGTCGATGACCATAGTGAGTCTTGCATGGTCGTTGTCGAAGCCGTTCATCACTGCGCCGATTGTGGGATTGAGCAAGAAGGAGAGAGTGGACGAGGCGATTCAGGCGATCAAGTTCAAGCTCACGGAGGAGGAGATCAAGAGTATTGACGATCTGTATCAACCTAAGAAGGTCATAGGCCACCATTAGTTTCCAAGTATTGCAGGCTATTTCCTCAAGCCGAATGTCTTGGCTATCCTAGACCAGATGTGTTCCATCTTCCAATAACATAATGCCATATGATCACAAAGCTCATCCCTGATCGCTTAGAGTATCACAATCATCCTAGAAGCCTGTCAATAATATGGCTGCGCTCAAGGATCAGGATTCGCTGCCTCAGCGGCGCACATGTCAGCACCTGCAGTAGGCACCCGTTGACCTGCAGCATGCAGTAGAAATTCCACAATCCTGGAGCCTAACCGATTCCAGAACCAGACGGCTGTCTAGATTCCAGAGCGCAAAAATAATCACTTGTAAGGTTCCTGCTGCAAGGCAGGATACTCACTAATAGTGCTCAGCCGGCCATAGCAGTCACCACACCCACTAGGTCATGCGAGAACCCGTCCAGGGATCAAATCAGGATGACTGGCCGGTATGATGTGCCGGTTCTGCAGAATCCGGATCGAGATCGTGCTAAAATAGAAAGAGGGAGTTATGTGCGGCACGAGACTGTGTGGATGCGAGAGACGGCGCAAATGTCTTGCATTGCCCACCCTGCTTCGCACAGCTTAGCTTTGCTCGAACGGTTGCGAGGCTGTGATTGAGTTGTTGGAATCTGGGAAGAGAGCAGCGGATTGGCGCGTAGAGTTGCCTGTAGGCTGGGGCTAACTTATGCAGGGGAATTTTCTAGTCATGAAGGCTGAGGGGTCGAGTCTATTGCAAATCACACCCATTGTTCAGTAAGACATCAGGAGTACTTCAACTCAGACAGTGTAGTCGATCAGTCTTGAGTGCAACCCAATAAGGATCTCGCTGCAGGTACGGAGTAGATGGAAATCTGTTAAGTTGCCTTCGCACTTGTTTCCTGTGTCGGATATCACTTCCCAGGACATACGGTGGCAATAAACCATGTTGGTCATCGTTCGTCTCTCGGATACTTGGAACAGTCATCCGCTCATGGCTATTGGACCTTGTTTGAAACATGACGCACTAGATGGTGATTTAGCAAAAAAATCCGAAGGTTCAGACTTTTGAGGACGCTCAGGTGGGGGTGGATCAATGTGGGAGGTGGGCGAGTCGGCTGATCGCCCTGCTTGGTGGATGATTTAGATACCCCCTGTGGATGGTGATGATCAGAACCATAATGCGCTTGACAGGAAGGAAGACCGTGTTCGGAAAAGCAAATACCGATTCTCCGCTTCCCTGACTCGACTCAGGCAGCTAGTGTGGTCGATAAAATTGATTTGATTGGATCCTCATAGCTGCTTGTATGAACAGAGCTCTTGTCTGCCATGAGTACAGTACGGCGTAGTCAAGAACTGACTCCAGCATGAGAATGGAAACCTCGCACCGGCACTAGTAGCAGTACTCAACCCTGTCTATACTCATTGTTCTATTCATTCAGCATTATTCACTGCTCCTTGCCCACCTACCTTCAGAAAGTAGGTCGCAACTAGTACTAGTAAGAGGCGTAGCCCAGCACAGCCCGTCTGCCAGTCACCTTCGCTGTTGACCCCGGCAGATCGACCATGTCCCACTATCGGTTTCTAGGCTCCTTTTGATGGTGGGAAACGGTCTCAATCTATGTCCAAATTCAGTAATATCCACAGCCATCCAGCTGTCCAACATAATTCTCAAGTGAGTCCTCATACTTATATTGTGATGTTTTTTGTGATGACTGCCTCTGCCTTGTTTTTTCCCACACCCTTTTTAGCTCAGTAAGTAGGGTTCGGGGTCACCCGCTTCTTGCGCGTGTGGTTACAATGCTCCTTTTATTTGCGAAACCTGGTGAATGGTGTAGACAAATCCCGATGCTCCTGACGGCAACCGATTAGCTCTTAAGGACAGAGCTCACCCCGTCTCGTTGGCTCAGACTGTTGTGAATCTCTTTGGCTCTTGGACAAGATTGTCAGACCTTGCCACTGCTGAGTCCTTTCTTCTTCGTCCTGTCCTTACAAAGACAGTGCAGTGCACTGTCTTGCTGATGCCTAGTCCGAGCCATCTTGTCGACGCGTCTGACAGTCCCAGTTGACTAATCTCCTCATTCGTCGTCCTGCATCTGACCACGTACGACCTGACATATGCGTCGTCTTGTGTTATGCATTTATGCTACCTTTCCTCTTCTTCCTAACAAGCCACTGACAACGAATCTTCAACACCTTTGCATATCACTTCGATTGCGAAACCGCTCGTCTTCCTGGCGGGTCGTCATTGCTCAATCATTTAAACCAACATTTTTCCAAGCCACAAATTTCCTGGTCTGCGTCATCGCTTGGTTTTTAATTTGACTGTCTTCCTATTTTCGGTTCGTACGGCAAGCGATTTGGAAATAGCGTCCGCCGGATGCATGCCAAATCAGAAACCAATCAGCGTTTGGGATAAGGGGGAAATTTGGATCCGCTACGGTCACCGTTTGCCAGGATCATTTGACTCAGGCCAGCAATCATGTCGCAGGTGAGTGAGATATGTGTTCTGCACGCACTGTATCCTGCCTTGAAACACCCCTTTCTGCCTTTTTGACTCTCCATCTGCCTTGAGAGAAAGCATGCATGTCCTTGTTCTTTTGCTTTTTTTGCTTTACCCCTTGCGTGGTGGACGCTGGACTGGGCAAAGAGTGGGGGCAAATCCGCCAATACCCGGGGTTCAAGGGTGGTACCATGGGCGGTAACCGTACCGTACCGTAACATACTTGCCCCGCCCGTCCACTCAATTCTTTGCTAGTTTGCGCCTTTGTACCCGCAGCTCCTCCAATGACGCCATGTCACGACTTGTTTTGTTGTCCGGAATTTGGATGACTCTTTTTGCTATGAGATTTTCTTTTGATCGCTTCCCCGCAAGATGATGATGATGGAATCGCTGCACTGTTTTCCTTGTACGGAGCGTCGAGCACTTCCGTCTCTGCCTACCTAGTCAGGAAAACCTGTCTTCTTCAGAATTGTGTCGGCTGTTGCGGCTTCTGAGAAGAAACGGGGCACCCCAGAGGAGATCATTTTCGATACCCGTTCCTGTCCCTGGTTCCATTATTTCTTCGTTCTTGTCATGTCCCGTCTCTCTCCACCCTTACCAAGTCGGGCAAGCACGCTGATGTGGGCTCATCTCTGCCGCGGCCAGGGACAGAACTATCCTCGCCTAAGAAGGAAAAGGATAAAAGCCTCAATGGCAGCCTCTCCACCATCCTCCTTCTCGGCCTCCTCGTCCTCATCCTCTTCTCTCTATCCGTCCTCCTGCAGCTCAATACACTCTCCCCCGTTGCTCAGCAGTAAGTAATTGTCCGTTTGTTTCTATCCTCTGCGTCTATCTTCAAACGCATGCCCGATGCCACTCCATCCGACCATACAGATACCTCTTTTACCCCTCTTCTCCACCTGTCTCCCCTCCTAGCGGACTATCCATTGCTCTCATTGGAATCATTAGATTCAGACCGTCCACGTTTCATCTTATCCCCTTTTAATGATTTGTTTACTTCCCCTTTTGTGTTGGCACCGTCGATATCAATCTCCAGTTCTCCACCCTACACGTGTGGCATGTCTCGTTCACTTCCTCTGGTCATTCTTGCTGATCGCGTGCTCTTAGCCAATCTCTCACCCTCCTCCTGGTCACCCTCGCATCGTCCTTCTGCAGCTTCAGCCCGAGATCAACTGGAAAGCCTGATCGCCAAGCACGGTCACCCCACTCGAGTCTCATTATCGTCCTTGCGTGACCTGACGGCTACCTCTTCCACATATAATCCACCGTCGCCGCTGTCTCCTCGTTCACCTGCTTCGGAAATCTCAGAATTGTCTGATACTGTCATCCTCAGCCGTTCTACCTCGCGTCCAATTCCCATACCAAAACCGCCGAGCAGTCCTTACGATTCAGATCTGCCGGTCACCCCGTTGACGGGGCGGTTTGAAAAGGATTATTTCCCGCAGTCTGATCAGTCCAAGTCTTGGAGGAACCGCGAGAGTGTCTCCCGGCTGGACAGTGACCGCTATCACCGCTCTTCATACCGCCGACCATCCTCCAGAATGCGTTCCGATAGCTCCTCGTTCTATTCGCCGGCCATGTCGCCCAGCATGTCACCCTCCACCCGCTCCGCATCTCCACAGCCAACACGCTCTCGCCCTCACAACTCGGCCAAGTCCGTGCCAGCATTCCATCTCGGCAGCCTGCCTCGGTTCCATCCCGCTGTCTACCAGCCCTCGAACAACTCCCAGAGTTTGGCCGCACAGCCTCCGTCGCCCCGACATTCCCGACAGCAGTCATACTGGACCTCGTCAAGCTCTCGTGACACGCTGAGACAGTACAGAGAATTGGTGGAAAGCGTCACTCTCTCCAGGGCACCCTCTCGGCCGCTCTCGCCGAGTCCCTCTGCCCCAAGGTTAGACCCTTTACGCAGCCCGGGACCTGTGACTCCATTGGCTCTGGAGGAGACCAGCGGCTACTTGACCATTGGTGCAACGAGCTCAGACTTTTCGTCGAGCGATTCCCAAAGCTCCAGCGCTGCGCCAGATCTGGTTGAGAAGCTCATTGCTCGCGAAGTCGACCGGGCTCGTCAGAAGTCGCGAAAGAGCTCCAAGAATTGGTGATCAATGCCGGTTCTCTTCTGTTGCTGCCGTCTTCCACGTCCTGGCCGGTTATCCAGGATGGAAGCTTGCATCTTTTCATTCTTTTCCAACTTTCCCATTAACTCACATCTGTCAGATGGGCTCCCACATAAGAGCTCAAGTCAGCCAGCATCATTCTGCATTCATTTTATACCCCATACAGCCTTGCTTTAATACTTTTCACATGTCATCTGTGGTGCCCAGACCCGCTCTTCTCCTATATCCTGTCTCCTATAAATTCAGACATGGCCAGAACAGATTGTCCTGCTCAACTCAAGAGTGATGTTGAAATTAGATTCAAAGGGACGACACTTAGAATTTCTCATGCTACCTCTGCCTTCGTATCTTCGCTTCGACTGATTGCGGGGAACTTTGCTTCTGCTCTGTATTTACATATTGCGTCCTGAAAGGACGAATTATCGCTAGATCGGTCAATGTTAGAGATTCCCAGACTGCCACATGACTTTGGTTTTGTTTTAATAACTCCACTGTCCATCGATTAAGAGCCAACTGGTCAAATCTAGGTAGTTGACACTGGATAGTTTGACGCGAGATCGGCAGACCAAAACCGCTAAGTCGTAAGGTGCTCTCCGGAGCTGGGCGATCTCTCCCCGAAATCCAGCACCCACAGATTTGCGGGGCGCAAAGCATCCCCATTGAAATTTATAACCTGGTCTCCCTTCCTACTTGGTCGATTATCGTTGCTCCGTTCCTGCGATGGGCAGTCGAAGTCTCTCTCCATCATCTTTGCTCACAACGGAATCGATCGAACCCTCGACTCCGTCATTCCCTTGAGCAGAGCACCGCGCTCGATGGGAGACCGCTACACCCAATCTCCGATATCGCCGCGGATTTTCGAATATTGTACTTCTCAATCATCAGTCGCATTAGCACACATCACACATTGTCAACGCCGTCTGTAGACCTTGACCATTACTCCGGGGAATCTAGAGTCCATATAGATGTCGTCAGTTGAAGCGTTGCTTTCCCCGGTAGACGCAAAGGTCCCCGGCGACATGGGCAGCAGAAGTCAGAGCACGCCCGCGGTGGTGCCCGGTGCGACGGTTTCGACCGAGAAGAAGAGCGACTATAAGGGGTTTGTAGCGGGTGTGTTTTCTGGAATTGCAAAGTTGAGTGGTATGTTCTTCTTCCTTTTTCCCTTGTGTACGAGGGCTTTTTTTCTGGTGACGTTCAGGGCTGAGCTGATATCGGTTTTATGGTGTAGTTGGGCATCCGTATGTGACGTGACGATTCCTACTACGTTGTTCTATGACTGATGGACATGCGCTAGTTTCGATACGGTAAAGGTGCGATTACAGACGAGCAAAGAAGGGCATTTCAAGGGGCCGTTGGACTGTGTACTACAGACGGTACGGAAGGAGGGTGTGAGTGGGCTGTACAAGGGAGCTACGCCGCCGCTGGTCGGTTGGATGGTTATGGACTCTGTGTGAGTACTTTCGTCGGTGATTGATACGACGGATAATTCGGGTCTGACTCATGGGATAGCATGCTCGGTTCCCTGACGTTGTACCGACGACTACTGCTCGAAAATGTCTTTTCGAAACCCGCTATTCGGTCTCTCACGCCGTTTGCGAGCTATCAAGCTGATCCCAAAACACTCCCCAGCTTCGGACATGGGATAGCCGGTATCTTGGCCGGTACGACCGTCAGTTTCGTAGCGGCTCCAGTGGAGCACATCAAGGCGCGGCTGCAGATTCAGTATGCGGCGGATAAGTCGAAGCGAATGTACAGCGGGCCAATCGATTGTTTAAAAAAGCTTGTAAGTCATCGAGGTGTTGGGTGTTGGAAGCGAGCGTCGGCTGACTGCAGCATAGCTGCGCACTCACGGTATCGCAGGGTTATACCGCGGCCTCTGCGCGACAATCCTCTTCCGATCGTTCTTCTTCTTCTGGTGGGGTTCCTACGATGTCCTGACGCGATGGATGAAAAACAACACAGCAATGTCGGCGCCAGTAATCAATTTCTGGGCCGGGGTATGTCGGCACAGATCTTCTGGTTGACCTCGTACCCGTCCGATGTGGTCAAGCAGCGATTGATGACAGACCCAATGGGCGGAGCGCTGGGTGATGGGGAGAGAAAGTTCCGCCGGTGGAAAGATGCCGCCAGAGCGGTTTATCATGAGCGAGGGTGGAGAGGTTACTGGAGGGGTTTTGTGCCCTGTTTCTTACGAGCATTCCCGGCGAATGCGATGGCCCTGGTTGCATTTGAGGGCGTGATGCGGTCGCTGCCGTGAGCCTGTAGTCAGGTAATCAGGCCTAATGAACCATGATAGACTAGACGACCATTTGTATATAGCATATGAGATACCAAAAACCAATTGGTAATGATTATAGTGTGTCGTTTATAGCCAGATGGTCGGTCATTGCTGGTGGTACAACGGTGGAGGTCAGCTTGAGTGCGATGCAACATTTCCGCATTCAGCATACCTCGCGCAGGGACAGAAATCTGGGCTCCGGTCCACATTTCAACGTTGAAGGCAAAATATTTCTGACGCTCATTGGGTAGTTGTGGGTTCAGAGATCGACTATTCGACCATTCGAGGGAGATTGAGCTGCGGTTCTGCAAAGTCGGTCCGCGTATTCTTTTCCGGCCACAGCGCAGTGAGGTCAGGGCGGCAGACACAGGCCAGACCATCGCTTCATCTTCTCATCATCGCCAGCTCACGTCTCTCGTCGACTTCCCCTGCACGATTACCTCGAAATTCACCTATTCACCGTCAATCCCGCTATGTCGGGGCGCAGGTCGAGAATTGACTTCATTACTGGCTAAGCATTATCTCCCTGTGCCCACATCTCCGCCGGTCCAGATCTTTCGACTTGTCCTCATCGAACATCTCCAATTTCCACGAGCCAGCTCGTGTCCTCGTCACCAACTCCAACCCTACCGATTCCTGCTTCCGCTCGCTCGTTACCACCGGTCGACACGGCCAGAAATGGCCGTCGCCCGCACAATGCGACGCACGAATCCAATCACTCTCCTTCTTGCGGCCATACTGGCGTTTGGATTCGTCATCTTCGTGCTCTCCCCTTCGTCATCCTCTGCCTCCCCGTTAGCGCAGGCTCCGGCTCCTCCTCATCCTCTTCTTCCTCCCAGCAACGCCGCGAAGACGACGCCGCCGAAAATCCCCTCTCGCCTCCGACGAAACCCTTCTTCAAATCCCAGCCCGTCCGCCACGATGGCCAACAGGCCCCTCCCCCGGTCGTGCAGTACGACTTGAACCAGCTCACCAGCACCAGCACCTCCGCCGCCAACGGCGAACGAATCCTGATCCTCACACCGATGGCCCGCTTCGTGCCAGAATACTGGGACAACGTGGTGAAGCTGACCTACCCGCACGAGCTCATCTCGATTGGGTTCATCATTCCCAAGAACAAAGAGGGCAATGCGGCCCTAGCCGCACTAGAAGCCGCCATCGCAAAGACGCAGTCCGGCCCCATCGACAAGCGGTTCGCGAGCATCTCCATCCTCCGCCAGGACTTCGAGCCGCCCCTGCAGTCGCAGGACGAGAAGGAGCGGCACAAGATGTCGAACCAGAAGGCGCGCCGCGAGTCGATGAGCCGCGCTCGCAACAGCCTTCTGTTTACGACGCTCGGACCCGCCACGGCTTGGGTGCTCTGGCTCGATGCGGATATCGTCGAGACGCCGCCGACGCTGATCCAGGACCTCACCGCGCACGATTACCCCGTCCTCGTGCCCAATTGCTACCAACGGTACTACAACTCGGAGAAGAAGAAGATGGATGTCCGGCCGTACGACTACAACTCGTGGATCGATAGTAGTACGGCGCAGAGCATGGCGGCGGAGATGGGGCCCGATGAGATCCTCCTCGAGGGCTACGCTGAGATGCCGACCTACCGCACCCTGATGGCTTATCTGGCTGATACGGCCAACCCGAACCCTAAGAAGGTCATTGAGCTGGATGGTGTGGGCGGCACGGCGCTCATGGTCAAGGCGGAGGTGCACCGTGACGGCGCGATGTTCCCTGCTTTCCCCTTCTACCACCTTGTCGAAACGGAGGGTTTCGCCAAGATGGCGAAGCGCCTGGGGTACTCCATTTATGGGCTGCCGGATTATTTTGTAAGTTGCATTTTTTTTCCTCCTTTGGGGTTGACTCATGAGATCCTAATGACGCTTGCAGGTATACCACCAAAACGAGTGATGTGGTTGGAGGAAACGATGTTTTTCATAGACTTTTTTTTTGTCTTTTTCGGTGCATCGACGCAATATGCATTACATTGGGCGCGCTGTGCGCAACTTTGTCACTATTTAGAATAAAATCTTTCAGATCTCATGTGGTGGATGGAGTTTTGGCGCCAGCATTGTGGCATGCGGAGTCCGCACATCCTTTACATTGGTTATCTAGATGCACGGAGCTAGATCATTTGCAAGCAATTTTATTATCTGCCGGGTATTTATCGACAGCATCTGTGTCCTTTAAGGTACTTTTCGTCTTATCGCTTTTTTCCAATCAAGTATCGTCTAGTCTGCTGCTGCCACATCATAAAAGACCACACCTCAATCCCAGGAGATACTGCATAGCAGAAAAGTGTTAGTCAATGTTCACAACAAGCCGGACTCAAGTACTCACGCAAGCATGATTCCCGCCCCGGCAGCAACCGCCAAAAACTGCACAATCGTCTTCTTGATCTCAACTGTCTTATCCTTGCCCGTCTCGAGCAATTCCGGGATGACCGACACAGTCCCGACGTAGAGGAAAGTCCCCGCAGTGAAAGGCAAGAGCATATCGCCCCATGTAAGGCTCGTCCCCAGCAGCCCGGCCGATGCGTCCGTTACACCACCAGCTGCTGCGCCGTGCCCGCCTCCCAACTCCTGGACCGCGATCCCGATGAATGTACCAAGGAACGCACCGATGGCGGTGACGAACTGCGCACCCATGGCTTTGCGCTTGGAGAAGCCGGACTGGATGAGGAGGGCGAAGTCGCCGACTTCGTGGGGGATCTCGTGGAAGAAGACGGCGACGGTTGTGGTTGCGCCGATGGTGGGGGAGGCGTAGAAGGAGGAGGACATTGCCAGGCCGTCGGTGATGTTGTGGGTGAAGTCAGCGATGAGGTTCAGGTAGCCGCCTAGTTTGACGCTGGGGTTGATTTCTTTCTCGTCTTCGGGTTCTTGCTTGGTGGCGGCCGCGGAGGAGTCGGGTTTGCGCTTGCGGAGCTCGGTGTTGGCGGTGCTGGTGGTGGAGCTGGTGGTTGTGCCGTGGGAGGAGCTGTCGGTGTGTGTGTGCGAGTGCGAGTGTCCTTCGCCTCCTGTTGCGATGCGGAGAGCCTTGTCCATGGCCACGAAGGTGAAGAAGCCGACCATGATCCCGAGTCCGAGGAGGAGATTCCTGTTGGGTTCGACCATGACGAAGCGCACGTGCTCCGGGGAGTCCTCGCCTAGGAAGATCTCAGGGAGAAGATGGAACAAAGTGTCACCTAGAAGTCCTCCGACGGCGAAAGCGACCATGACGGAGAGAGATGAAGGGTCAATGTTCGGTGGGCATAGTGCCAGGAGGAAGTCTGTAGCTATTAGATCTTGGCACGGTAATGACATGGTCTCTCTAAGCGCGCATACTGGGAGGTCCGGAGATGTACACAGTTGCCAGGATTGCATTGACCGCGGGACTGCCAGGAAAGAGGATCGAAAAGAGCCTCGACATCATGCTGGCGGTTGGTGGGCTGGTTGCACGCTTGTGCTCATTAAGAGCTTCCACAAGTGGACATTCCTGAGCAAGTCAGCCTCTATTCATTAATTGCTAAACATCTAAGATGACTAGAAGCTTGAGCGCAATTACCTGCAATTTGTCTTCGATTTCCGCTACGGAAAGGTCGCCCACAGTGATCTTGTCTCCACTGTTAACAGTCGCAGCTGCCAGCACAGAGAATAAGAGGAGACCAGCGAAGAGAGCGAGGCCGGTCCTGCGCGCAGGAGAGAATAAACTGAGTGCCATCGCTGTCGTGAAATTCTGACTGCAGCAATGAGCGATTGGGCAGAGACACTCGAGGATAATACCCTGGTTACGCCAACACAATAGATATCGGACAGATTGTTTGTTAACAGCTCGTTATCAGTGGAGCTATGTGTCGGCAAACACGCCAAGCCTCCAGATGCAAACATTAAAAAGTTTCGGAGAAATCGATAAGAATCGATCTAACCGCTATGCAATTTTATCGTCCACCACTTTTTCGAATTAACGCTACAAGGCTATAAGAAGGATGGGTCGCGTGCTACAGAAGAAGAAAAACCGGTCCTCGACGCCGAAACAGAAGCCCAAGAGGACTGGGCAGCTGAAGAGCGGCAAGAAAAAGATCAACGTCCTGGGAAATGCCATCATCGCTCAAAATTGGTAAGAACTACCAATTCTTGGAATCGATCAAAGAATCGCCACTGACATGCGTTTCACTGCAATAGGGATCGCAAATTGACCCTGACACAAAACTACCGCCGCTTGGGACTCGTTCACAAACTCAATGCTCCAGCTGGCGGTAGCGAAAAACGGCCGACCAAAGATGGGCGCATCGAGGAGCTGCCCGATGATCCCCTCCACATCAGGGGCAGCGCCAAAGCGTCCGCAAAGCAGGCAGTCATGGGCGAGACCAGGGTGGAACGCGATCCGGAAACAGGCAAAATCATCCGAGTGATTCGTGACGAAGAGGAGATTGAAATTGGCGGCCGCAAAGTCAAACCTTCGAATCCGCTCAACGACCCACTGAACGAATTGTCTGAAGATGAGGCAGCCGAGCGACCCGCTTCAGAAAGAGCCAATGCCAAGAGCGCGATTGTTCAACTGCTGGAGCGTCAGGCAGACCAAGAAGGGCAGGCAGTCAGGGCGAAGAAGCCTCGGCACCAGAGCAAGCGGGAGGAGGAATGGATTATGAGGTTGATCGAGCGTCATGGAGAGAACTACAGCGCCATGGCTCGTGATAGGAAGTTGAATCCTATGCAACAGAGCGAGGGTGAATTGAAACGGAGGATTCGCAAGTGGAAGGCAAACCACTCCTCATAGTTTGTGTCTTGATGCATTCCAGGCGCATGCGGCGTTTTTAATGGGTTGTTGATATCAAAAAGTTGTTGTCTAGGCTTCGGTTGTCAGTTTATACTATCTGACAGGTCTGCAACTGTTACATATAGACCTATATCACATTCACGTCTTACAGATACCATACCAATATAAGAGTAAGATGTCGATACAGGAGCCTGCCACGAGGAATCAACCCTCTCTTATGATCAGTATCGTCATGCGTATGTAGTGGAGGTCGTCTGAACGCAGGATACTTTGGTAAGGCACATCTCTACGAGGCAGATCCTTGCTGACATTGTTCTTGCCAGATAAGAGTATGCGTTGTTCTGTCGAGACGCTTTAGGTAGACTGTCGACTACAGAGTCACAGTTAGGTCCAGTATGCTTTTCTATCCTCAGGCAGCATCTCAACGCCTTGTTCCCCAGGTATCCAGCTACCGTACCTTACCCGATTCGGCAACCAAGGGCAACACATAGGTCTCCAGCAACAGCACCACTCAAGGAACCGGGGCAGGTGGTGCAGGGGTCAACGCCAGTCAGTCTAGCACTGACTCTTGCGTGACTTCTGTAACCATCAGCGTCTCCGGTTCGAATACAGTTCTGGTGCCTGCATAGACCTCCTTTTCCAGCTATACAGGTACCGGGATCGGGACGGATCGGGCTTTGGGCATCCTACAGATGGGTGTCTATGGCCTGTTCCGTTTTGTCTCTTGATCGTGTTCTCTTCTTTTTGCCATTCTCGTTCATTTCGTTGTCCTGACAGAGTTCCAATGTCGAATACCTTCATGCCTGTCTCAGCAAGGTTGTCTATCAACCTAGGTTCTCCCTGGCTGCTGGTATCCCTAAGTGACTACTCTGGTCCAGTCCACTCTATCTCCATAGTGTTTTTACCTAGTCAACCGTAGGAGTCATGGAGGAGTAAATCTCCTATGACTGGGAAGTAGTCCCAAGATGAACTGTGCTATGGTCCTGTTGAAGAGTAACGGCATCTTCCGTGCTTCATTCGCATTCACTGCTCAACCACGACGCGTGCAGTATCAACAAACATCGCCTCAGCAGCCTAGCTTTAGCTCAAGCTCTCTGTAAAATTAGTAGTCCGGCCATCCTGCCACTTTTACTCACGCTTCATACACTTTCATCTGACGACTCGACTTCAAGATACCGATACCAGCCTTGACTCCATGAAGACATATCTAGCCATGATTCTCCTCCTATACGCCAGTCTCATGCTCCTTGAGCTAGCAAAGGCCCAAGTCAAATAGTACTCTCCTCCTTCCCACCATTTGATACTTCTAAGACAAAAGAAGCTAACAAGCAGCAGCGACCCAACCAGCGACACTCTCATCTGCTCTAAACCCGGAGGAAGCTACTGCCCAGACGGCTCGCTAAAGGGCTCGACGATCCTATCCTGCGTGTCGGCGACCATGATCGAAGTCCGATCCTGCAATACCATGTACGCAAGTGCCAGACCACTACCAAAAGCAAACAACTGAACAGACATCCATATCTAGGCTCTCGAGATTCATCCCACCGCTCTACACTGGAGCTGCAGTTTGTAACGTCCCCGGAGCCTATAACCACTTCCTTGATATGAACTAACGAGGATATACAGGCCACGAATCATCCAAGCACGCAGGAGACGCCGTCTGCGCTTTCAACGGCACGGGATACTCGATCGACGGCAAGATCTCTCATATTCCCGAGACAACCCTCTGCGGGAGCTGGGAATCGCCCCTCTTTGCCCTCGGTAGGAATTGCGATGAAGCAGGAATGCAGGCTGGCATCGATGTCATGCACGTCTCTGAACCTCCGCGGGTGAAGAAAGACGTCAACACCCCGCTCCCATCTCCGACGTCGCTTGACGGAAGAGTCTGCTCCCTCCCATATAACCCATGGAACCTGGGCGACTGTGTCGACGGTGCAACGGTGACTGGCGTCCCGGTTCTACAGGTTGTTTCCGATGGTGCGGGGCGTCAGCGTGTATCTGCATCTGCGTCTGCATCTGCATCTTCAGGATCTGGGGTGGCGAGTGCGTCTCCGATTACGACCAGTTCCATTCGTATGGTGTCTTCGGCTGTGTCTGGTGCGAGTCCTGCGGCGAGTGGTTGGGCTCCGAGCTCGAGTGGTGCTACTGCGACGGGCGCTGTTAACGTTGGCTCGGGGAGAGGTATGGTGTGTGATGGGGCTTGTTGGAGTATGTTGCTGCTTGCTTCCCTGCGGGTGGTGGCTCATGTCTTGTTGATGCTTGGGCGGGATTAGGTGTTTGGGATTTTCTCAGCTGTTTCAATCTATGTTTCGTATGGTTTTACCTTGGTTTTGCATGATTCCGTGATGATCACTCTTAAACTTGGCAAATTACAGCGTACAGAAATGTTCGACGTTGGTCATAAGTTCCATCATTGTGGCAGCCTCAGAATGACTCGTAATCGTGATTCTAGTAGATTTTCTAATCTTTCTATCTATGACTGTATCTGAGAAGTACCTTTATCATTGACATAGCCATGCTTTGATACCCGTCCCTGATCTAGGACGACGTAGTAATCCGCATCCTTGATTGCTTCCAACCGGTGCGCAATGGTGATGACGGTCGACTCCCGTAGTTCCTCCCTTATGACCTGCTGAATCTCAAGGGAGCTTTCATGGTCGATAGACGCGGTAGCCTCGTCGAGAATGACAATCGGACTGTGACGCAAGACAGCCCGCGTGAGACCGATCAGCTGCCGCTCGCCCTGGCTGAGGTTGCGGCCACCGGCTTCGACGTGCGTCTGCAAATTCCAGCCATGCCGACTACAGACACGCTTCAGCACATCTGCACACTCCTCGTCCGAGTATTCACCGGTTGGATCGAGATTCAACCGGATGCTGCCAGGGAAGAGAACAGGATCTTGAGCAACGAATGTGACGCGGGTTCGGAGCGCTTGCGTATTGACTTGGGCGATATCGATGCCGTCGACGACGATCCGGCCTGATTCAGGGCGAATAACACTGAGCAATGAGACAGCTAGCGTGGACTTGCCACTTCCTGTTCTGCCTATGATGGCCGTCGTAGATCCCCCGGGGATTCTAAGAGAAATGTTGCGGAGTGAAGGCTCCAGGTGCGGTGCGTAACGAATGGTAACGTCTTCGAATGTGATGTCCTGCCCGAACCGCGGCCACGACGCTGGGGGCTCAATAGTCCCTGGATTCTCCTGCTCAATATGAAGCAGCTCATCAATCCGCTCAACCGAGACAAAATCCATTTGTAGCTGTCCATATTGTTTGCACAAAGCATGAGTGGATGTAACAAAGTTATTGGCGGCTATCAGTACAAATGCCGCCAGACCTGGAGTGACATCGGTGTATAATGCCAGAACGGTGAGGCAAAACGTGGACGCAGCTGACAGTGTCTCGAATCGATACATTAGCCAGCTTTGAAGCGACCAGTAGAAATGATCCATGCCCTGGAATTTATCTACCACCGCAATGACTCTGTTTTGGAAGCGTTTTTCCGCGTGGAACGCACGAACAGTCGTGAGACCATGCAAGAGCTCGCCAAAATTTGAGATCAAAGGACTAAGGGACACCATCTCAAGACGCCGCAAGCTTTGGGATGTTGGCAGAAATTGAAGAAACGTGAAAATGAATGCCGCAGTGAGAGCGAAGGAGAATCCAAGAAATGCCGGTGTTACCGACGCGATCACCACAATCGAGGAGATCCAGGTGATGGCTTGGAAAGCGATAGCCTGGAATTGTTCACTAATATTACCGTCGACCACTCCGATATCCGATGTCAGTCGGTTCATCAACCGGCCGATAGGAGTGACATCGAAGAAGCGGAATGTTGCATGGCTTACTCGAACCATGACCTCGTGAAAGAGCTTCTTGCCTGCACAGTAGACGATGACCAGCATCAGAAGTTGTGCAAACAGAAGCATGGCCGATTGGAACGTCGTTATCACAAAGAAGGCCAGAAGCCAAGGACGTACATCATCGAATGGCGCTGGCAATTTCTCCAGGGGATCGCTTTGGTCCCAATGGAACACCTGGGACCACCCATACGGTATAACCCATTGCCCTGCGGAATATCTGCCTTCGGGGTAGAATGGCTGAATGCTAGGAGAATCTGGTTGTAGGCCTCACCCCACTCCTTTAGGAACCACGATTGTCCTACCGATGTCAATCGGTAGATGGCCAAGATAAATACTAGTGAGATCCACCATCTGTATTTTCCAGCCCTGATGTAGTTCCAATAGACTCGGGCTTGCACACCCCATTCCGCACGGTGCTCTTCATCCATAAACTTTGTCGGGGCAGAAGCCGCAGCCTCTCGAAGAGCGCCTTGAATCTCACTTTGGGCCTCGGCTGACTTTGCTAAGGATTGGACACCTTCATCAGTGGCCGAATCCATAGACACAGCCTGTTTACCGTGAATTGTAGCCCGGCCATCTTCAATATGGACTATTTGATCTGCGATATGACTGACCAGCGCCGTACGATGCGTAACTAGAACAACGACGCGGTCCTGCATCAGAGGACCCGTAAAGCACTTTCGAACCACGGTCTCAGCAGTGTTGTGATCAAGAGCAGAGATTGGGTCGTCAAGCAATAAAATCCTAGCGGTACTATAAAGTGCTCGCGCCAGCGCGACGCGAGCTTTCTGGCCGCCAGAAAGGCCTATACCATTCTCACCCACAAAAGAGAGGTCTCCATGCTCGAAATTCTCGAGATCAGGAAGCAAAGCACATGCATCCAAAACTTTCTGGTACCTTTGCTCATCATATGGCGAGGAGAAAAGGATGTTGTCTCGGATGCTCATGCTCTGGAGCCAGGGTGTTTGAGCACAATAGCCCACCATCTCATTAGGGATCTCAGCGGAGCCGCCAATTCTGTCCAGCTCGCCGAGTAGCGCTTGAAGTAGAGCCGTTTTGCCGGCCCCTACCTTACCAGAAACGACAGTCAGACCCTTGGTTATCGTCAAATTGATATCTGAGAGCACCGGGACGACTCGACCAGGCCAAGCATATGAGCAATGTTGTAGCTGAATGGAAGCAGAGTCGGCGGGTTCGGTGGCAGGTGTCTCCTTATTCGGCTCGGCCATGAAGTCCTCAATTCTTTCGACGGCGATAGATGCATTGATCAGTACCGTTATGAGGCCAGGGATATCCCTAAGACGGGTCTCTAGCATAGTAAATAGCTGCAAGGCAGGGAAGATTATATCAATGCGCAGAGGATGACGGGCCAGAAGTGTGTAGGCATAGAGGGCAACTACAGGAAACACCCCGCTAGCAAAAGTGTTCACGAAACGAATCAGGATGCTCCACAGGTTGGTGATGATACGAAGGTTCAGCTCCGACTGCCTAGCATCCATAACCTGCCGGTACCAGTGATCCTGCCAGCCATACCAACGCAGGTGACGAAGCGCTTCGACAAACTGAGAGGTTATCTGAAGTCTGGCATCTGTTGCGAGTCTCCGCACTCGCTCCCAACGGAGAAGGGTGCGAGTAATGACGGCGTTCAACACCTGAGCAACCAGGATTGCTAGGATCCCCAGGAAGCATGATGGCCCAAACAGCTTCCAAACAAGCACGATTGCAATGACAAGTCCCAGAGGTTTGTCAATCAAGGAGTCGACTTCCCAAAACCGCTGGGCGACTTCATAGACATCACCACGGAGCAAATTGAAAATCTTGCCCATCGAGGCAGCCGTTTTAGCCGGCTTTTTTGTGGTTTGCCGGCGCCCAGAGAATATCCCACAAAGTTTCTTTCGCTTGGGAATCTCCGCTTCATCGTCAGCATCTTCTTCGGCAAGCTCTCCGTTTGCGGCCCCTTCATCCTTTTGTTCTGACTGGGGGTCAAAAACGTTCTTCCTGGAGAGTGCCTTCTCGTAGACCATCATGATCATCTCCCCTCTGCTTCTTTCGTAGCATCGTCTACCAAACCAAAGGTTGAGTACTTGCGATTGTGCCGCAACCACACGAAGGACGAGAGTGACCAGCGCATAGGTCATGGCAGGACGTTTCCCTGAGCTCATGTCCTGCATGGCTTGAAGGAGTTGCTGCAACAAGATTGGAGTCGCAAAGTCTAGGATCAAATCAGCGAAATTTTCCGTAGTATGCACGGGAATTCCAGACCGCATATCATCATCACAATTGCAATGGTGGAAACAATCACTAGATCAATCCCATTCGCACGAAGCAGACGACCAATCACTGAGCCTTTAAGTCGACGAAACTTCTCATGTAACCTGCGATGTTGAAATTCGAAGCCAAGGAACCAGACGTCGTCCTCGTCCAATCGTCTTTTCTTCCCAATGGAGATGAGCGGTGCCATCCATGACACACTAAGGAACTGCCACAATTTCAAATTGTCTTCTGGACTGCGAAATTCGCTGGATGAGTGCTGTCCAACAGCAGCGATATCATAAATGGGAACTGAAGGCTCACGGAGAGGCATGAGCAATATAGTAACACATCCAGCCATAGCCGCGCCAGTCGCAACATAATACGCAGGAAGCATTGTCACTGCGTACGCGTCATGATTCATAATAAATGACAATTCCACGGCAAGCTCTGTAATGAAGTATGCAAGCATCCAAGCTGGACATGTCCTTGGACGTGCTATACAAATGAAGATAGCGGCAACTGCCTGAGGGACGAATAAGCTCAACTTCCCCAACGATGCGGGCTATCTTACCCATGACACAAGGAGAGCTATAGTAGCCACGTCAAAGCCATTTGCAATTGCTTTTACGACCTCAGCCGCGAGCCCTACGAGTGTGATGAGGAAAAGGCTGATCACCCATCCCACCCTTTGCTTGATCTGCTCCACTGGTAAGTCTGGCCATTCCTGATCCTGACAACGTTCTGAGATGAAGGGTTTCGTCCATTCCGGACGCCAGCGGTGCAGAAACTGGCTGAGAAAGTAAAACAGAGCAACCCCTATGATGACGATGGTTGGTATCGTGGAGAAATAATGCATGGCACATCTCGACAGTCGAGCATTGGCCGAGTCCTAGCATCATTATGTCAGAGCGGGGTGAAACAATATAGAATAAGTGTCGGTGTGCAGTACCCATACTGGATGGCAAAAATGAAGCACGCCATAATTCTGAACGAGAGACATCAATTCAGACCTAATCCCAGAATATTGATTGGACGGATACTCAGACAATCTTGTCTCTTAATATTGTCCAGAGCGTCTCTGCTTCGTTGGTAGGTAGCTCGTTCTAGACGGAGGCGGAAGGATAAGCCGAGATGCCTAAGGCACCATATAAGCTTTGGGTCTGAAATTTGGGAGGCTGAAAACGAGGCGACTTTAGGCATAATTTCCCCACATTTCACGCCTTACCGTCTCGTTTTCCCAAAAATAAATGAAACACATGGTTTTATATTTGCCAGCAATGTATTAATGAATAGATATCTATCCCCCCGAAGAAATTGGAAGCATGCATGTTCCATTTGATAGAGTGAAAATGAAGGTTTGCCAAGCCTCGGGTACCGCATCACCATCAATATTCTAGAATGGTAAGATACCGCAGTATTAGGAATGAATATATTTTGTAGATTAGTGATACAGTGTGCGATCAGCACCACGAAGTCAAACGAAGATCAAATTGGATACATATATCGTCAGAGAATGGACTTGTAAATATCGTCGCAGAGGTGTGAATGAGAGTAAAATATTCTCACAAGGACTCCTGCTCACTCGAGCCATTTTATGTATCAAGCAACCTGATCTAATAGACGTTTCTCCCATTCGATCAAGATCATGAAGTATTACACCAGTGTACTCATAACAAACATCACGTTTTCCCTTGGTTCGAAGGTTTCTCTTTGTCGGTCTCAGAGGACACGCTGACTCTCTGCACGACCCGAACCCACCGTCTCCTCCGCCATTCGCCCATGCCATTGAATCCTGAATGCCCTTGCTCCTCCCAGTCTCGAGAGACAGACTTCTGCTTACCTTTCTGCGTCTTCTTCTTCTCTTGAATTGAGGCCGGCTTCGAGGTTGAGCCGTAATCTTGATACCCTAGGGCAGTGGCCACGGCGTCCTCGTCTCTGGACGCGGATTGAGAAGGTAGATCCCAAACCCAGCCTCCAATCTCCTCGTTGGCCATGCTTCCTTCTGGACCAGCTCCGGGTATCTCAAAGCCTACTCCGGTAATCATGCGCTCAACGACCCACTCACGGCAGTCAAGGTCCAACTTCCACTTCTTTGTCTTCCATGCCCAGCCTGGTGGAGGCCGAACGTCTTCGAAGAAACGACATCCCCTTGGGCGGTCTCCTGCAATTCGGGACGGCGACAGGGGGTCATATGGCACTGAACTGAAAATAAAATGGTCCCACTCTGACTCAGAATAAGGAGCTAGGGAGCGATTTTGGATCTCGAAAATTTCTACCTCACGCTCTTCAGGATATGAATCCAGAGAAATATCTGCCAATGAATCAAGCAACGATACGGCGGCGGATGGGTTCGACGGCATCGACAACCCGTACATGTCTAGAGTCTTCTTTTTCTCCGCCCGGTCAGCCTGCGGGTCGGCTTTCACAGCACCCCTACTGTCTCCTAGCAGGTTCTGCAAGAATTCTTGTAGGCCGGGGTGATTGGATAGGACGGCTGCATTGCCACCAAGTAGTAGAATAAACCGCCACGGCAGGAGATGAGCTGTCAGAAACAGTAGCGCAGCAGTGATTGTTAGCACAAGGAAAACAGTGGATGAGAGCTTTTCATTCGAAAAGTTGGTTATGGGTGCAAACAGCGAGACAGTCGCATCGTGCACATCAGAGAAATCAGCCATGACGTTCTGGAGATCACGCATATTTCTGAAAAAGTCCTTTGATGTCTCAGGCGCTGGCTTGATAGTCTTTGCAGGTGCAAGTGCCGGACCCTGGTACGAGTAATAGGGCGTGGTGCTGGAAGTAGACATTGAAGGAGGAGGTGGATGCCGTGCCGCGAAGGCTGGGACCATGATGAATAGTAAGATGACAGTGATGGGAAGTACCACCAGTAGATTAGGATCCAGACATAGAAAAGAGTAGATAAAAAGGAAAGAGAATGTATGGGAGGATTTCCTCCAGCTTAGCAGACGTTCAACTCGGTTCTGGAAATGGAAAACAATCCCGATCCTGTCAAGACTGTTATCAACATGCAAGTTCAACATTTCCCCATAGATATTTTATCTGACATACCTGGCGTTGAAGCGACGAAAATTATTAGCCATCAAAGGAAGGCTGAACGCTGGCCGCTTAACATCTGCGGTCGTACGCTTGTCGCCTCCCGACACAGACTCGTTGTCTACATCTTCGGCGGGAATGACTTGCTCCAGAAGCCTTACATCAATGATGTTAGTATATTCGGCGCCTCAAAAGACTCGTTTCTCATATCAGCGACAGGATGCTACACACTTGGCGAATAACTTGTCTTGCAAAGACTCTGACCTTCCATGCCGATGTGACCTGGTGTCATTTTTGTTGACTGAGATGACGGGGATGGGCTCGTCACGGTTGGCAATAACTTCTGCAGTACAACCGTCATCCATCATGCCCTAAGCTAGAATCTGCGTCGAGAGATAGAGTTGAAGCATGAAGGTGCATTTCTTGTGGCGGATGGCCTGAATGGCTTGGTCTCTCCGCACAGAAGCACATGCACATTGATCAACTGTTCTGATATGGATGAGCCGAGCAGGGTCGGATTCAGTAAAACGGGGTGGTAATTTGGGTAATGGACATGTAATTTGGGTACAGGTTGATCTGCCGTAAGGGAGCAGAAAATGACAAAATCCACCCATCATACACTAATCTCAGAAGAGCACTGTTTGCTCTATTTGCGCTTGTCGTTACCCAATTAGGTATCTCTAGAGCTACAGAAAAGGAGCCAGGGGGCACGCACTACCTTACTTTTGCCTACACTAAGGTAGACTAGTACTACTAAGAAACTTGCGATAGTTAGTGTGCTCCGTTAGGTTACTCCATTGTACTCCGTACTAGCAGAGGTCAACAACAGCTTGTTGTTTACCCAGTACCCATAATTATTATATTTTGTCACTTCCTCGACTTTTCTCCTCTGCTTCATTTTTCTAGCTGGCATTGGGTGGCATTGCTTGCTTCTTTCTGCTCACGATATTATCTGTATATTTTCGTTTCATCAGATTTGGGTGCCTTCCTCGTTCCCTTAGCAATATTTCCCCTTTTTCTTCTTTCCCGTTTGCTTGGGCTCTAGTGGTCCCATTTTATTATATACGCCCGTAACTTTCTTAACGCCAAGTCCAACCGAACGACGAAGAGTTCCCCTCTGCGCACCAACAACCCTGTGTCGACACTTCGAAAAGAAACCGAATCGATATTAATACGCTGTCAATCCTTTTATCTGGCCGCGTTCTTCGGTTTGGTTTTTCGTGGTCGACTCCTGGCAGAAGAGACGTGCTCTTTTTGTTCCCCGCAATGGACCGGTAGCGACCGTTGACGGGTTGCGCGACGGTGTTGTCAAGCCTCTTCTTTGTTTTGAAGGCTGGGGAATCAGTGACGCCTCTGTGCCATTGGCAAAAGAAAACGACGCTGGGCTCCTCGTTCACGTCTAACTTCTCAACGAATCGCCCTCAACGTGCCCCTATCGCTACTGGGAATACTGGGATCGAAGCCTTAGGATGCCAGAAAAGCTACCGTCGCAGCAGACTCCAGGGAGGGGCAGCTGCGTAAAGGACAAACGGGCTCGACCAGTCCACCTCGGAATGAAGATTCAGGATCTGGAGGTATAATATCCAAGCGATGGTTTTGTCCGGTGCGGAATCGCAAATGGCAGTGGCTGACGAATCTGGCTCTAAATAGCAGAGGGTCCCGCGCGAAGACGCTTGCATAAACATGCATCGACACCTTTCCTTTCGGATACTCCTCCTTCCTCAAAAACAGCAGCTGGGTCTCGCATAAGCATCATGACCAAGAGAAGACTATCGATTCGAGATCAAAAAGTGCCGCAGGGCCCACGGCCGCAAGAACCCTCGCGCAGAAGGTATGGGCTCAGAATCTCCAGTTTCCCTGCCGGGTCTCTTTTAGCGTGACTAGGAAGGTTGTACTATTGATGACCATTAGCATCTAACTTTTTGCTTTGTAGTAATGCACCAGGCTCTTTTTTCCACTCGGGACACTCTTCAATTGATTCAACAAATGAATCAACGCGGAGTACCAACTCTCGTGTCAGTCTTCGAACCACCAGCATGGGGAATCTGGCAAAGTCGGACTATAACCATACGCCTCCTGACCAGACGGACTTCCTTGCCCCCGTCAACTTTGATGATTTCCACAACAGCATCATGGCAGAGCCGAGTCTAAATCACTTTCCAATGCCGGGCACTGGGGTTTCAAACCACCCTGGAAGCCAG